TATTGAGGCTTCTTATAGGATCTGTGAGACTAGACTTGCATTATTTATTTCCCTTGCTAACTTTCCAGAAATCCATCCAGTATGTTGATCTTTTCCTATTTTTGTTGTATTACTGTCAGTTCCTTGCATTTAGGATATGTAAATGTAGGGGCATCTGTGTTAGCAAGTACCCTACTCGGTATACTATCTCTGGCCTCAAAGTTCTTGGGAGTGACAAATTCTTTTCCTCCCTTTGATATTAGGGTGTTTTTGCAAACCTGGCTTATTCCTGGCTCTGTACTCTGGGATTATGCCTGATAGTGCTCAGGGGACCATATGAGGTGCCAGGGATTGAAATTGGGTTAGCCACATAGAAGGCAAGCACTCTAAATGCTTTACTATTGCTATAGACCCTCAGTAAAAGAATCTTTAAAAATATTTTGAGCCATACCTGGCAATACTCCGGGCTTTTTCCTGGCTCTGCACTCAGGAATTAACTTCTATTGGTGCATCCATATGGTTGGGACCATATGGGATGCTGGGGATCAAACACTCGCTAGCTTTATGCGAGGCAAGTGCTATGTCCATTGTACTACTGCTTTGGCCTCAGTTAAAGAACTTTAAACATACCTTGCGGTGCTGGTCTAGTGGGGGTAAATTCGACAAGGTATTGTTTATGTGGATAAATTTTTCTTCTTTTACTATATTTGATTATTTTGCTAGATGTATTCTTTTTATTTGTCCATACTTGGTGATCCTCAGGGCTTTCTCTTGGCCTTACTCTCAAGGATCATTCGTGGTTGGGCTCAGGGCTCATGGGGACATATAAAGTACTGGGGATCGAACCTAGGTTGGCTGCATGTAAAGCAAGTGCCGTACATGCTATACTGTCTCTTTGGCCCCACTAGGTGTATTCTTGTCTTGGATTGTTTTTCCTTTGGGTTTGTGAATATGTCATTATACTTAGTGTTTCTTGACAAATCTGATGTTAGCTTGGTGGGGGTGCCTTTATATGCTATGCATTTTTTCCTCTGTCTATAAAAGTATTTTTAAATTATGATTTTAATCATGTGCCTTGGCTTGCAACATTTTGATTTCAGAAAATTGAGTGTCTTTTTACAACTCCTGAACCTGTAAAGTTAATTCTTTCTTTAATTTTGGGTGTACCTCAGCTGTTGTCTTTCAAAATAGGCTCTCTGCTCCCTTCTCATTGTCATTAATACTTCTTTTATTTTTTCAATTTTGGACCACACTCAGTGGTGTTCAGGACTTACTCCTGGTTCTGCATTTACTCCTGGTAGAGCTTGGGGGACCATCTGGTGTACTGGGCATCAAACCTAGGTTGGGTTCATTCAAGGCAAGCATCCTACCTATTGTACTGCCACTCCCACCCAGTATTTCTTCTGCCTCTTTTCTTTATTTTAAAGACTTGCTGGTTTTAAGAATATTTATCTCTTTTTGGTTTTGGGCCATACTGGGTTATACTCCTGGCTCTGTACTCAGGAATCATTTCTGGCAGACTTGGGTTCCATATGACATGCTGGGAATCGAACCTGGGTTGTCTGCATGCATGGCAGTTGTGCTGCTTACTTTGCTATTTCTCCAGCCCCAATATTTCTTTGTTTATTTGGATTTGATAGTTACTTCTTTGTTTGTTTTTGGGCCACATGGGTGGTGCTCAGGGGTTACTCCTGGCTCTGCACTAAGGAATTACTCCCGGCAGTGCTCGGGGGACCGTACGTGATGGCTGGGGTCAAACCCAGATCAGCTGTGTGCAAGACGAGCACCTTACACACTGAACTGTCTCTTAGGCACCTGATAGTTACTATTTTTTTTCTAAATGTTTTTATCCTTTTTCATTTGTGGCATTGCTCTTAACTTTATTCTTAGTTTCCCCTTTACTTTTCCAGAATAAGCATGCTTGTGTTGCTTTCCATGGAAGTTTCCATTTAATTTACCTAAAATTAAAAAAAAATTGCCTTTAGGACCATACTCAGTCGCTTTCAGGGCTGACTTCTGTTTCTTGACTCAGGGATCACTCCTGGCTATGCTCTGGGGTCCATATGTCATGCCAGAAATTGAACCTGGCCCAGCTGTGTACAAAACGAACACCTGCTATACTATCTCTCAGGCCCACTTTCGGATTCTTTTTTCCTATGCCAAGCGCTGCTTCCCTCTTTGTGCTCAAGGTACATAATGCTCCCATGTGGTGCCAGGGATTGAACCTTGGGCTACTGCATGCAAAGAATATGCTCCAGCCCTCTGAACCAATTCTCTGGTTCTGCAGCACTCATTGAATTCTTTTGGGGGGGCATACCCTGCAGTGCTCAAGGGTTACCCTGTCGTGCTCAAGGCTCTGCACTCAGTGCTTGAGGGACCATATGGGTTGCTGGAGATTGAGCTTGCGTTGGCTGCGTGCAATGCAAGTGCCCTCCCTGCTGTACTATCTCTCTAGCCCCACTCATGTGTTTTTGAAATCCAACTTTCTCATAACTTCAGTCCCTTTGGTGACTCTTGCATGTTCTTTTTCAGATCAAATCTTTTTCAGATCAAATCCAGATCATTGCACTGGATTGTAAGTGCTCTACCATTAAGTTACATTAAGTTACATCCTTGTCTTTGCATATTCTTATTTTGTTGGTTTTATTATTTTATGTTCTATGAATACATCTGTACTTAGGAAATATCATCAAGTGTCTTCACAGTAGTTAATTTAGACTGTTGTACTCTTTCTTGTGTTATTAAGATGGATTTCTGAGAATTTTTCTTACGCTGTCCCAAAATTTAAAAAAATTAGGGGACTAGATAGTAAAGCTGATCAGGCACTTCAGCCAACCCAATACCCTACCCCATATGTTCCCTTGAGCTCTGCCAGGAGTAAGCCCTGAACACATCTGGATGTGATCCAAACCCCCCCCCCCAATTTTTTTAATAGCTCTTTTGTTTTTCCTTCATTTAGTAGATTAGAGCTCTGTTATGCTTTCCAAGACCTAGGATTTGTTTGGGTAGAAGGGTCCGTCTCTTTGGGATTTCCATCCATTAACGCTTTGAATAGGGAGAACCAGTCTAGGTATAAAGTCCCTTGCTGACTTCTCTTATGACTGACTGGATCCATTCTCTGAGCTCAAAAATCTGTGGTTCTAGAGCTCTGCTTGAATACCAAGCTTGACTTGCGGGTGGGACAGTCTTCCCCTGCGCTTTGTTCCCATGGTGGGTGGCCTCATCCTTTGCTTACCACAGTCCTTGGGCTTTATTGTCTGCGTGTAGCACCCGGCTGCAATTGATATTGGGAGTCTTGCCAATTGAAGGAGTTTCCTGAATATATAGCATCTCTCCAAAGTCTTCATTTTGGGGCCACTTGGGGCACACACACTCCTGGTTCTGTGCTCAGGAATTTCTCCTGGCAGTGTTAGGCGGGGGCGGGGGGGTGTCATATGGGATGCAGGGAACGGAACCCAGGTTGGCTACATACAAGGCAAACCTACCTACTGTACTATCCTCCAGCCCCGCTCCAAAGTCTTAATAGTGGCTTAGCTCTGAAAGTTTTGGGGGGAAGGGGTTTCTGCCGCCTTTTTATTTTCTAAAACAATGGAATCTGTCTGCTCTCAGACCCAGCATTGGGATTTTATCTTTTTTGTATGAAGTAACTCACTGTGGCCCTCCCTGAAGAGTTATGTGTCTCCAGTGTTTTGTTCATTCCCTTCTTGGACTATAGCCTGCTGCCAAGGGCCACTCTGTAGGCTCCATTTTTAGGGAAGGATTTTTGTTTGTTTGGGGGTCATACCAATTGATGCCTCAGCCTTACTCCTGACTGTGCTCAGGAGTCATTCCTGCTGTACTTGGAAGGCAAAGTGTGGTGCTGGGAATCTGACCTACATGGGATCTGACAACGTCAGCTGCATGCTAGCAAGTGCCGTAACCTGCTATTTTTTTTTCCAAATAGAGGCCCCACGTGAGGGTGTACGGAGCTGCTTGTGTTTGTGTTCTTCCTCTTGATCTATCTTCCTTGAGCAGGCTTCTTTAGCTGAAGGCTATTGGCTCTTATCACTAAAGGCAGACATCCTGGGGTGCTGTGTAGGGGAGTAAGGATTCAGCATGTCACTCTGACTACTAAAATTTTGGGGTTCAGAGTGTTAGCATTGTCCCATTTTTTGTGGCCATGTGGGGTCTTTCCCTGCTTAATGGAGTACTTTATTGGATTTATAGAGACTTAGTTATACCCCAAAGGCCTTTTCTTCTCCTGCTCCTGCCCCTTGGTCTGCATGGCACTTTGCTTTTGATTTTTTTTTCTTGTGGGGGAGGCACACCTTGCAGTGCTCAGGGCTTACTCTTGACTCTGTGCTCAGGGATCACTCCTGGTGGGGCCTGCAGTACCATACGCTGTGCAAGGCAAGTGCCCTGCACACTGTACTATCTCTCTAGCCCTTGGCACTCTGCTTCTTTAGGTTATAGTCTCCCTTTTACCAATATAACTCAGGCTTTTGACTACCTACTTTTTAAATTAAAAACAAAGGTTCTCCATTGATCAGGTCTCCTCTGATGATAGGCTAATGGGAGTTGAATGAAACACATACTTGCTCTTTTTTTTTTTGTTTTTAGGTCACGCCCAGTGGCATTTAAGGTTTTCTCATAGCTCTAATTCCTGGGGTGCTAAGGAGTGTGCTTCTAGGAATTAATGAACCTGGGTCAACTGTGCAAGGCAGTTGCCTTACCTGCTATACTATCTTCCTGGCTCCACATTGTTGCTTTCTATCTAGCTTGTACTTGATTTTGGGAGAGCCAAACTCATTGTTTGCTCAGGGCTGTTCTTGGCTCTGCTCAAACCCAGTCAGTCACATGCAACACACGTGCCCTGCTTTCTGTACCATTACTCCAGATCCCTATATATATTTAAGGGAGTTTTTTTCCTGATAGACTATTATACCGAGTTTTATGGAGATGTCCATGTCCTAGTTAGTTTTCCTGGATGAAAATTATGTAGTGTTTTAACTTTACTAATAAACATTGCATTCCTTTGTTAGATTAATGTTCTTCATAAACCCCCGTATGACCATCCAAAGGACTTGAAGCTGAGTGATGGTAGACTTCGAGTAGGATATGTGAGTTCTGACTTTGGGAATCATCCTACTTCTCACCTTATGCAGTCTATTCCAGGCATGCACAATCCTGATAAATTTGAGGTAAGATGGTTCCTTAGAATCCAAACACTATTGATTTTATGAATAAACCAGCTTATATTGGTAGGTTTATTGTCACTATTAGGTGTTAAGACCAGTGACCTTTGAGTTACTAAGTTTGCTCTGCATTGCCTTGTAGGTTTTTTGTTATGCCTTGAGTCCAGATGATGGCACAAACTTCCGAGTGAAGGTGATGGCAGAAGCCAATCATTTCATAGATCTTTCACAGGTAGGTCAAACTCTTAAAGTGTCCAATGTTTTATTTTGAGCAAATCAGGAGTAAAACTCAACTAGCTTATATTATTCATGATATGTGCTAAATATTGCCTGTTACTGGCAATAACTATGATGTTATTTATTGTCATTTAAATAGGCATAGGCATGGACTTTGCTTAAGTTTTAAATTAAATATAAATGTGATATTTTTGGACATAAAACTTTCTTAGGGATTGAGTTAGCACTTATGACAGTATATACTTTATATTAACTGTGTGAATTGAGCAAGATAGTACCTCAGGATAATAAAAAGGACATTTAAATAATAGATGAACTTTGATTCAGCCTTTGCCTTTTTTCAGATAAGCAGAGTAGCCTTATGTAAAGAAACTTGCTTTGAGAAATCTAAAGGGAGAGAAAGAGATAGTTAAGTGTTCAAGAGAGATTATAGGTTCTGCCGGAGTGGAAAAAAACCAGTCTTTGCCTTTTGATTATCTTTATTTAATTACATGTAATATTGCCATTTAGGGACCAGCATGCTTCTGCTTCGCGGGCTGGAGCAATAGCACAGTGGGTAGGGTGTTTGCCTTGCACGCAGCTAACATGGCCGACCCGAGTTTGATTCCTCCGCCCCTCTCGGAGAGCCCGGCAAGCTACCGAGAGTATCTCGTCTGCACGGCAAGGCCTGGCAAGCTACCTGTGATGTGTTTGATATGCCAAACACTATAACAACTGTCACAATGGAGACGTTACTGGGCCCGCTTGAGCAAATCGATGAACAATGGGAGGACAGTGACAGTGACAGATTGCTATTTAGAAACATAAAATTTTTAAGATTCAACTCTTTGGAGTAGTTTATTTCCTGATCATATAGACTATATTTTATTCATTGATTTTGTTGTTCATTTTGGAGATTTGCATAGATATGCAGCATGTATAATATGTCTAATATATATGTGTGTATATATATTTATATATACACACATATACACACATAAATTACTGAAGTTCTAGCAGATTTGTGAGACTCTTGCTATCTAATAAGTAATATACCTCAACATTTTTTTGCAAATAACTGTTCATTTTTGAATTGTGGAGATGAATTATTTTGCGACTAAGAAGCATACTGCTTTTCACATCTGAGACCTGTAGGAACTTAACTGCTTATTGACTAAAGTCTAGTATCTTCAGCATGACATGTATAACTTTTCTCACAACCTGTTTGCCAATACTTTATACCTCCATTCCCTAATGTATACCCTATGCTAACAAAAAAACTCATTAAAAATTACTATGTACATTATTCTGGACTGGAGCGATAGCACTTCAGGTAGGACATTTGCCTTGCACATGGCCGACCCGAGTTCGATTCTTCCGCCCCTCTCGGAGCGCCCGGCAAGCTACCAAGAGTATCTCGCTCGCACGGCAAAGCCTGGCAAGCTACCTGTGACATATTTGATATGCCAAACACAGTAACAACAAAGTCTCACATTGGAGATGTTACTGAGCCCACTCAAGAAAATCGATGAACAACGGGAGGACAGTGACAGTGACAGTACATTATTCTGGTTCTTTCTTAATACTTTTGTTTTACCTTTTTTAAACCGTGCATAAAAGTTTTGTCCTTACACTTTTGCATCTTGTTCAATTATGTTTTATTCCATTAAAGAAAATTGATTTAGTCTGAGTTTATATGTATTTCTTATTTTTAATTTTATAGATTCCATGCAATGGGAAAGCAGCTGATCGCATCCATCAGGATGGAATTCACATCCTTGTAAATATGAATGGTTATACCAAGGGTGCACGAAATGAACTTTTTGCTCTTAGGCCAGCTCCTATTCAGGTGAAGGAATTGCTAATAATTATATACAATATGTATTGGGTTAAAAATAGTTATGTGATTTCCCCTTCTTGTTTAAAACAGTAGGGTTGGGGCTGGCATATAAAACAGGGCACAGGGCCTGGGGAGATAAGATAGAGATTAGGGACCCCAGTCCAGTCTGTGGCACCACATGGCCCTGAACACTGCTGGGTGAGCACTGGAAGGCCTACTGGAGGCCTCTTGCATTCCAGGGGTGCCCTGGTGGTCTGTGACACCACTGGACCCAAGCAACACTGCATTATTTGACCCACATTGAAACACCTACCTGGTTGACTGAGTATTAAATGTATAGGTTAGAATGCACAGGGCAAAGAATTTTGAATATAGAACACATCACCAATAGACATATGAATATAGAGACAAGCATTTCACAATTGGGTATAAATGGTTGTTCTGTCTTTTGCATCAAGAAAAATTTAGCACAATGAGTGTAAGTCTAAAATTCTATGTGATTGCTTTTGCTTATTGTTTACTTAGTTTTGGAATCATTAGATGAAGGTTCTCAGTTTTTGGTCTGATTTTTTTTTTCAATTCTTTCAGGCAATGTGGCTGGGATACCCTGGAACTAGTGGTGCACTTTTCATGGATTATATCATAACTGATCAGGAAACTTCACCAGCTGAAGTTGCTGAGCAGTATTCTGAAAAATTGGCTTATATGCCTCATACTTTCTTTATTGGTGATCATGCTAACATGTTTCCTCACCTGAAGGTAGGCAGAAAAGCAGTGCTATGAGGGAATTTCAAAAAAAAATTTTGTATATATTCTTAATTGTTATTATTTTGTATATATTCTAAAACACACGTCAATTTTTTTCTTGTAGAAAAAAGCAGTCATTGATTTTAAGTCCAATGGACATATTTATGACAATCGGATTGTCCTGAATGGCATCGATCTCAAAGCATTCCTTGACAGTCTACCAGATGTGAAAATCGTCAAGGTCAGAACCTGGGTAATACTGCCATAGAAATTAAGTTTTCTCTGTTTTCCATAATGATCCGGTTTGTATCTCCCCCCCAACAGATGAAATGTCCAGATGGAGGAGACAATGCAGACAGCAGTAGTACAGCTCTTAATATGCCTGTCATCCCTATGAATACTATTGCAGAAGCAGTTATTGAAATGATTAATAGAGGACAAATCCAAATTACAATAAATGGATTCAGCATTAGCAATGGGCTGGCAACTACCCAGGTGAGAAGAGAATGATAGACCACGATGGGTACTACTTTATCTATTTCTCAATGACTGTAGGAAGTAAGCAGAACATTCTTTCAGTGGAAATCAGCATCTTGTATAGGTTTGTCTGATCATAAACACGCTTGTTGGATTTTTGTTTTGGGTTTTTGTGGTGTACCCATTTGTTTGCAGAGGCACCTGGTGGTGCTGAAGGGAGGTACTCCCACGAATTAAGATAATGTTATACCTGCTTAAAATATTCCCTCCTTCTCCCCTGTGCTCAGGGATCAGACCTGACTCTGGGTTCAGGGGTAACTCCTACCAGGTTCAGGAGACCATATGTTGTGCCTGGTAGAGAGCCCAGGTCAGCTGCATGCAAGGCAAGCACCTTACCCACTGTAACTGTGTCTCTCCGGCATTTTTTGCTGAGTGTGGAGTGTTTGAGCCATACTTAGTTGTGCTCAGTGACTCTGTGCTCAGGGGTCATTCTTGTGATACCCGGGGACCATTATGGGGTACCAGGGACCAAATCTGTGTCAGCTGCATACAAGGCAAGCGTCTTCCTCACTGTAATGTCTCTGGCCTCAAAACTTATTTTCTCATAGCTTATTGACATGGCTTAAAGGTTATTTACTTCTGAATCTTAAAGGATCTTTATTAAGGAAAAACAGATTGTGGTGACTTTAGAAAATCATGCTTTTACCTTCTAGATCAACAATAAGGCTGCAACTGGAGAGGAGGTTCCCCGTACCATTATTGTGACCACCCGTTCTCAGTATGGGTTACCAGAGGATGCAATTGTGTATTGTAACTTTAATCAGTTATATAAAATTGATCCTTCTACTCTACAGATGTGGGCAAATGTGAGTATGTGTTTGTAATTTTTTTGTTTTTGGGCCACACCTGACTGTGCTCAGGAGTCAGTCTTGATGGGGCTTGGGGGTTCATATGGCATGTGCCGGGTATCCAACCCAGGTAGGCTGCATGCAAAGCAAGCACCCTATCTGCTGTCCTATCTGCTGTACTATTGCTTTGGCCCCATGTGAACATAAAGCTTTTGTTTTGGTTGTGTTTTAGGCCTACTCCCAGCTCAGTGATCAGAGTTTGTTCCTGGAAGTGCTCAGGGTATCATATATGGCTGGGGATTATACTTAAGTGCCAGCCCATTGAGCCTTCTCTCTGGCCCTGTAGATTAAGATTTTAGAATTATTTTTTATTTCTATACATTACGTATCTAGAGACTAGTAAAAGTTCTATATGTAGGCCCATTTTGCTAGGTTGCCTTTCTCCTTTGCCCATTCAGCAGCTGTTGAGTTCATTCTGTACTTTAAATGAGAATTGGACCATGGATGTAGCTCATTGGTAGACAGAGTAGAGTGTATACCTTATGTATATGGTGGACACTGTGGATTCAGTCCCTAGAAAATATCTGCCTCCCAGAACAAAAAATAATTGTTGACTTTTCCAGTGTCTAAACACTATGAACCTTTTTTATTTATGTGTTTTTTTTTCTGAAAATGTTCTTTAATATTTAAATATATCCACAGGCAAGGCCAAGTGGGAGAATCCATGTATACTGCATATATGACAAATGTCAAAAAAAATCTCTAGAATGCTTGTCATGTTTCTTGATACATTTTATTTATTTATTTATTTATTTTTTTATTAGTGAAGCACCATGAGGTACAGTTGTAGATTTACAAATCTTTGTGCCTGAGTTTTGGTCATACAATGATCAAATACCCATCCCTCCACCAGTGCCCATTTCCCCCCACCCCCCCTCCCACCCTGCCTCTGTGGCAGGGCATTCCCCCTTGTTCTATCTCTCCTTTTGGGTGTCGTGGTCTGCAAAAGAGGCATTGAGTGACAATCATGCTCAGTCCATAGTCTACTTTCAACATGCATTTCCCCTCCTGGGAGGATCCTCCAAACACCTTTCATTTGGTGTTCCCTTCTCTATCTGAACTGCCCTTTCCCCTAGAATATCCGGCTGGCCTCTAAGTTATGGAGTAATCCTCCTGGTGTTGATCTCAGCTATTCTTAGGTATTGATCTCATATTTTGTTGCTTTATATCCCCCAGATGAATGCAATTTTTCTATGTCTATCCCTCTCTTTCTGACTCATTTCGCTTAGCATGATACTTTCCATATTGTACCACTTGTATGTAAATTTCATGACTTCATCTTTTCTAAGAGCTACGTAGTACTCCACTGTGTAGATGTACCAGAGTTTCTTTAACCAGTCATCTGTTCTTGGGCACTCAGGTTTCTTCCAGTTTCTGGCTATTGTAAAGAGTGCTGCAATGAACAAACAAGTGCAGATGTCAATATTTGTGTGTTAACGAGTCGGGATAGGCACATTTTTCCTTAGTGCTATATGGCAGCTTTTTCCAGTTTTTAATATGTACAATGACAACTGTGATATTTTCTGCACTAGGAAATACTATATCCATTAATGTGTATGTTCAAAAAAATTTTGTTTATAAAACTGGGAACTTGTACCAGACTTAGATCACAGACTATAGTTTGCTGGCCCATCACCTAGCATATTTTCTCATGTGTATCAACTTGTGTTTAATTATTTTAAACTATAACCAGAAAGAGATTGATAAATGTCATTACTACTATTTTTGTCAGGGGAAGAACTTTAAGGCAGTGCTCAGGGGACTATATGGTGCCAGGGATTAATTTCAGAATTTATCTGGTAGGCGTGAGTTCCAGGCTTTTGAGCTATCTCCCTGTTCTCTAGGCCATCGCTTTTTAGAATAGTGCGAATAAGAAGTACCTCAGAAAGTTCTAAATTTTGCTCCACATTACAGGTTCCCTTTCTTTTCCGATTCTATTTTTTGGGGGGTGGTAGAGGTGGTCACACACCTGGCGGTGCTCAGGACTATTTAACTCCTGGCTCTGCTCAGTGATAATTCCTGGTAGAACTTGGGGGAACATACCAGGTACCAAAATTCCTGGTAATACTCAGGAGTTACTCCTGGCTCTGCACTCAGGAATCTCTCCTGGTAGTGCTTGGGAGACCAAATGGAAAGCCGGGGATCAAACCCGGGTTGACCACATGTAAGGCAATTCATTTACCCACTGTAGTATCTCTGGCCCTGTTTTTTAAAGTTTTCTAATATTTGTGACATTTTTTAATTACTGTTTTTTTTGGTCACATCCAGTTTTGCTCTGGGCTTACTCCTGGCACTAAGCTCAGACTCACTCCTGGTGGGCTCAGGGGACTGTGGAATTCTGGGGAGTGAACCCAGATTGTCCATGTGCAAGGCGAGCCTCTGACTATCACTCTGGCTCCCATTTTTCTTTTTGCATTGCACCCAGAAATGCTCAGGGGTTACTCCTGGCTCTGCACTTAGGAATTACTCCTGGAGGTGCTTGGGGGACCATATGGGATGCTGGGGATTGAACCTGGGCCAGCCGCATGCAATGCAAGTGCACTATCCGCTGTACTGTAACTCTGGTTCCCCATTTTTTCTTTTGACAGTGATCCACACCTGTTAGTGCTGAGGGAGTAATGAGGTTTACTCCCTGCTGACCCCAGTTGATCCCTGGTACCCTGACTTGCTCCTAGTAGTGCTTTGGGGACCATGTGGTGATTGGGATCAAATTCAGGGCTCATGTGCTCTCCAAACTGTTGAGCTTTGTCTGGCTCTGTACTGTCACTGTCACTGTCCTCCCATTGTTCATCGATTTGCTCAAGCAGGCCCAGTAACATTGTGAGACTTGTTGGTACTGTGTTTGACATATCGAATACGTCACAGGTAACTTGCCAGGCTTTGCCGTGCGGGTGAGATACTCTCGGTAGCTTGCCAGGCTCTCGAGAGGGGCGGAGAAATCGAACTCGAGTCGACTGGGTTGGCCGTATGCAAGGCAAACGCCCTACCCACTGTGCTATCGCTCCCTTTATAAAATACTAAAATATTTTAAAATCTGATCTTCTGTTCTTAGGACTCTCCAAGAAAGCTTGGTAATTGTGTGTGTGTCGTTAAGTAAAGGTAGATTTTAGTCAGGACTTCACAAATTATGACCCATGTACCAACTCAGTCCACTAAAATAGGCCTTTAGTGACTTTTTAATTGACGTTTTTATTAGCCATGCCTACTTATTTATATATTGTTTATGTAAATATGTCTTTTCTATAGGACAGAGTTCATGTGGCAAAAAACTGAAAAAGATTTGCTCTCTAGTCCTTTACATAAATAATTTCTGACAACTGATCTAGATGAGGCAAATAAAGGGCTAACTTTATTATGTCATGGGTGAGGGATTTCAATTTTGAACTTGATGGGGTTAGGAGAGTGTAAAGCACGTAAGTCTTGCATGCCGCTGACCCCAGTTGATCCCTGGTACCTCATATGGTTCCCCTAAGTGCTGCCATATGTGACCCCTGAGTACAGAGCCAGGACTGTAGGCTTCTCTCTTGTAAAGAATATAGTAGAATTAATAGAGTCCTGGGGGAGCCTTGCTTGAGGAGGTCGGAGAGGAAATTAATTCTCTTATTTCCCTTCTTTTAGATTCTGAAGCGGGTTCCCAACAGTGTGCTCTGGTTGTTGCGTTTTCCTGCAGTAGGGGAACCTAATATTCAGCAGTATGCACAAAGCATGGGTCTGCCCCAGAACCGTATCATTTTTTCCCCTGTTGCTCCTAAAGAGGAACATGTAAGGAGAGGCCAGCTGGCTGATGTTTGCCTGGACACCCCACTTTGTAATGGACATACCACTGGGATGGATGTCCTCTGGGCAGGGACACCTATGGTAACTATGCCAGGTGAGTTGCTGATAAATGACTGGATTCTGTCATCTCGTTTTGGCAATATTATGCGAGGGTAGGCTGGGCTTGAACTCAGGGCCTCTTACATAAGAAGCATGAGCCCTACCCTAAATAACATTTCTGTGTGGTTTTTTTGCCACACCCAGTGGTGGTTGGGCTTCTGGCTCTGTGCTCAGGGATCATTCCTGGTATAGCTCTAGGAATCATATGTGGTACTGGGAATTGAACCCAAGTTGCTTTTGTGCAAGGCAAGTGCCCTACCCACTATGCTATTTCTTTGGCTCAATGTTAAAAACAGTATTTAGGGCAAGATAACAGAAAAAAAGTGCTCAAGTCTCAGCATGCCGTTTTCATATGCATTGTGTAGATACTTTAACATTAATAATTGTACTGTTCACATTCTCACATGTGCAATTGCTGTCTTATAGGAGAGACTCTTGCTTCTCGAGTTGCAGCGTCTCAGCTCACTTGTTTAGGTTGTCTTGAGCTTATTGCTAAAAGTCGACAAGAATATGAAGACATAGCTGTGAAGCTGGGAACTGATCTAGAATAGTAAGTAAACTTACATGAACAAATTCATATGGTTAAGTGAAAGAATTAAGGAAATTTTAGCATGTTATAAAACTATATGTTATAAAACTATAAAATATAGAATGTAGACTAGGTGGATTACTTCCTTGATGGGAGAACTTCCTAAACTTTGATTAATGAAGTGATAATTTTTACTACGTAGATGGCTGAAAATTATGTCAAACCTGTTTTTACTATATGATGGCTAAAATTATGTCAAAATAGCTATAGATGGCTCTATATAGACGAAAGAACATTTACATATCATTTTACTTAATTAATGGGGTTGTGGGGCAGGACACCTGATGCCAGGGATCAGGGGTCAGCCTCATGTAAAGCAAATACCTTTAACCCCTCTACTATCTCTCTGACCCAGTTTACATTTCAAAATCCCTGATAGGAAAATAAGAGAGTGGCTAGACACTTTGTTGATTTAGAAATACAAATGACTTACACGAAAAAATTTCCTTCTCTGTAGTAGAAGTGTAAATTAATATAGAGGTGTACATATAATTTGGCGGGGAGGGGGCTTCCAAGCGATCCTTAGGAGATCTGGGGATGACTTGTGATAGCCAACCAGATGGGTGGTTCTGTGCTAGGACCTGAAGATGAGGTGCTGCTCAGCTTTCTGGTGCTGGGGACCTCTAAGGCCACACTTGAGGGTGCTTGAGAGACCATGTGGTGCTAGGGGCTGAAAGCGGTTGGGTGCGTGTACTGCTGTGCTGTCCCTCATCCCCTAAAATAAAAATTTTAAGTACGATATCAGTGATAGAGGCATCTTATTATGATATCTTATTATCTCATTCCTACTTTGGACAAACTGGCAGGCTACCGAATGTAACCTGCCCACATGGCAGTCTGGCAAACTCCCCGTGGCGTACCCAATATTTCAAATACCAGTAACAATGATGGGTCTCATTCTCCTAAAGAGCCTTGAATATAGCACTTTCTTAAAAATCTCAGGGTTAGGATGAAGGAGACGTTACTGGGGCCTGCTCGAGGCAATCGACGAATAACAGGATGGTTGTGATTCGTCATGATCAGTGATAAGGGAGCATTGAGGAACCAACCATATTATGTTTCTTTGTTTTGGCTTTGAGGCTTTGAGGCCACACCTCACCTAATGTTACTCAGGGCTTTCCCTTGACTCTCTCCTCAGGGGTCACTCCTGGCAGTGCTCAGAGGCTCACGTACAGTGCTGGGGTTGGCTGCGTGGAAGGAAAGCTCCTTAACCCCCTGAACTATCTCTTTGGTGCAATACATTTTTTTAGTGAAGCAAGATAGTTTTTACCGGAAGAAATTTAAATGTGAGAGGAAGGAGGGATGGGGAGTGAGAGAAAGAGAGGGAGGAGAGAGATTTGTGGGGAGAGAGAGAGAGAGAGAGAGAGAGAGAGAGAGAGATACATGCTCATAAGAGAACATGGGACTTTCCATAGTGGAAAACTAGAGGGGGGGAGGAGAGAGAAGATGAGAATATGGGCTTTAAAAATAACTGGCCCGATTTTAATTTGTTTTTTGTTTGTTTGCTTGGGGGCATGTGATGGTACTCAGGGGCTACTTCCTCCTCTGTTTAGAAGTGATCCCTGCTTGGTACTGTTCAGAGGACCATGTGCAGTGCCAGGAATTTGATCTAGGGTCACAGCCACCTGCACAGCTGCATGCAAGGCAATTGTTCATCTTACCTCATTTAGTATCTCTACCTCAGCATTGGCCTTTTTTAACATCTTCCTCAAAAGTTTTAAGAGCCCTAAAAATCGTGACTGGAGTAAGCTTTAAATACAGGCAGGTGTGGCCTCCACAGCCTTAAAAAAAGAAATGTCAGCAGAAAAGAAAGCAAGAAATACATCTTTGACCATAATAATGACTCTTCCTAGTAACATAAAAAAACTGAAACATATCTAAAATAACCCCAAATAGGTAAGAAGTAGAGGGGGGATACTTAAAGAAATGTACTTCATACCTCTCTGGGGGGTGGGGGCAGGACTCCTAAGCACTGCTGGGATCCCTCTTAGCTATTCTTGGCTATAGTTCAATGTGAGGGCCCAAGGATGGGGTACTGATCGGGTTCTCTCCTGCCTTGCCAGAATGGCCCTGTGGTGTTCAGGGGACCATGTTGTGCTGGGGACTGAACTGGAATGACAGCATGTAAAATATGTACCATAATCCCTGTGGTACATAGCCCCTGCACAGTATCTCTGGCCATTATCTCTTAAGTGAGCTTTTCTTTACTCTCATGTATTTCTCTGACAAGCAGCATTTAAAAGTTCTAAGTATATTTTTGTTTTGGGACCACACCCTGTGGTGCTCAGGGTTTACTCCTGGCTCTACAGCTCAGGCATAACTCCTGGTAGAGTTGGGGACCATGTGGGGTGCTGGGGATTGAACCAGGGTCAGCTGTGTGCAAGACAAATGCCTTACTCACTGTACTATCTCTCTGACCCCTGTAACCGGGGATTTAATCAGGATTTTGACACTTGTTATCTCCCTAGTCCTGGAATACACAAATGTTAAGTGAGTTTTGAGAAACATGTTAATGACTCAAACCTGTAGTAAGATACAGAACTGTACACAGAAAGTTCTCTTATGTCTTTTCTCAATTTACTCTCCTCACAAAATCTCAAGACACAGCCACTGCTGTGAATTTTTTTAAACACTATATATAAAACGGAACCATGCAATATGTACTTTAGAAGACTCGGTCAGCTGAATCTTTGTGGTTTATTCATGTTGGCTTGTATGAGCAGTTTATTCCTTTCTATTGCTGAATGGTATTTTGTGTATGAATGTTTAATCATTCTCCTATTTAAAAAATTAGAGCACGAAAGTATTTTCATTTGGAAGGTAGAATTACTGTGTTCATGATTAGGTTGGAGCCCAGTGAAATACATAGCTATTTTTTCCTTTTAGTTCTACCAAGCAGTGTTCAGGGGTTCCCTCCCTGGAATTTTCTGTTTGCTTGTCTGCCTCTTGGTTTATATAAGGGTCTGAGAATGTTTCTGGTGTTGCAGTGCTGGGGTATACCTGGGCCACTCAGGCAGTGCTCACTGTGAGCTTCCAGGGCTACATCTGGTGATGCCTGGAGAATCTCACGATGCCAGGATTGAACCTGTATAGGCTGCATGTAGGACTTTAACCCCTGTGCTATCTCTTCCAGCCTCATTTCAGTTCTCTGTTCAGGTTTTCAGGCCACACCCAGCAATTCTTGGGGGATTCATCATGCCAGGGGTCAAATCTGGGCCTCTTGCACCTAAAGTATGCGTTCAGCCTGTTCAGCCATCCCTCTCTCCGCATATAGACATTTTAGTAGTTCTAGCGGGTTATTTGTTTCAGTTAATTGCTTTTAACAAATGCATAGGTGTATCTTAGCTTCTGGTTCTGAAGAATTCTCAGTGATCTCAGAGGGGTTGGGTATATGGCTCAAAGTGGTAGGGGACATGCTTAGGATCTGGGAGGCTCTGAGTTTGATCTCTGTCGTGGTAGAGTGCCCCTTCCTCTCAGGTGTAGATCTGGTGGCCCTCAGCAGCACTGAAGTCGAGTGAGCACCTGACCATCTGGCACCCCTGAGCCCTACCTGGTGTGTTTTTGAAGGGATAGTTTTGAGTTATACCCAGTTATGCTCAGCGTTTATTCTTGGCTCTACATTCAGAGGACCATATATGGTGCTTGGGTTTGAACCAAGGTCAGTCACATGCTGCAAGGCAAACATGCTGGTCTCTCTGACCTGGCTCCAATTTTTTTGTAAAAGATTGTCAGTATATATGACTGGAGCGAAACAATAGTACCTGCATAGTACTGCATACAGGGCAAGCTCCCTACCTGTCATACTTTTACCGTGACTGAAAAGGTTTGCCTTGCACATGGCCATCCTGGTTTTGATTCCCGGCACCCCATGGGGTCCTCTGTGCCCTGACAGGGCTCAGCTCTGAGCTTAGTGTGGCACCCCAAAAACAAAAAAATAAGATTCTTATGACGGCTGATATAATCAGAAGGGAAATGGAAAGACTATCCTTTTCCAGGAGAATTAATTTTCCCCCATTTCTTAGTAGAACCACAGTCTTGGTGCTAGTAGGAATACTTTTTTGAGGGTGGGTTGGGGTGGTGCTCAGGCCTTACTTTTTTTTTTGCTTTTTGGATCACACCTGTGCTGAGTGATGCTCAGGGACCAATATGGGACGCTGGAGATCGAACTTGGGTTGGCCGCAAGGCCGCAAAGCAAAACACCCTCCCTGCTATACCTATACTGTCTTTCTGGTCCTTCATGCCTTACTCTTGGCTTTGCATGCAGGGGTAACTGCTGGCGGATCTTGGGGTTCTGAGATTGAACCCAGGTTGACTATTTGCAAGGCAAGTGTCCTACCTGCTGTACTATCTCCAGACCCTAGGAATCCTTTTTATTGTTTTCACTATTTATAATTTTTTGGTTTTGTTTCACACCCAACAGTGCTCAGGGCTGACTCCTGACTCTGTGCTCATGGAACAATCCTGGCAGAACTCAGGTGACCATTTGGAGTGTTGGGGACTGAACCTGGGTCAGCCACTGTTAAGACCATTGCCCCACCCTGTTTGCTACTATCTAAATAAACAGCTCAATTCAGGTTTACATATAGAGTATTGTGGGACTAGTCAAACCCGTTTCTTTCCCCTTAGAGGAGCGATAGCACAGCGGTTAGGGCATCTGCCTTGTACGCAGTTCAACATGGCCGACCCGAGTTTGATTGCTCCGTGCCTCTTGGAGAGCCCAGCAAGCTACCGAGAGAATCTCGCCCACACGGCAAAGCCTGGCAAGCTCCCCGTGACGTATCCGCTATGCCAACCACAGTAACAGCAAAGTCTCACAATGGAGACGTTACTGGGCCCGCTCAAGAAAATCAATGAACAACGGGAGGACAGTAACCCACAGACTGAATACTTACGATTTTGCCTTAGTTATTGTGATTCTTCAGTGAATAAACTTGCATGAACAAATGAGTCTTTTTCTTTCTGCTTCTTGGGCCAAACCTGGCAGTGCCATATGGGGTGCCTGAATAGATCTTGTGCAAGAGCCCTACATGCTGTACTATCTCTCCAGACCCACATTGAAGGTTTTTTTCTTACGTAGGAATACTGCGATTTGCTCGAGCGGGCCCAGTAACGTCTCCATTGGAGACTTTGTTGTTACTGTGTTTGGCATATCGAATACGTCACGGGGAGCTTGCCAGGCTCTGCCGTGCGGGCGAGATACTCTCGGTAGCTTGCCGGGCTCTCCGAGAGGGGCGGAGGAATCGAACTCGGGTTGGTCATGTTGGCTGCGTGCAAGGCAAACGCCCTACCGCTGTGCTATCGCTCCAGCCCATTATTCGACCACTTTTTAAGCTGATTGAAGCGGGCATGAACTCCACACTATTAAATTTTTTTTAGAAAAATTTTCATAAAGTTCTGTACAATAATTGTTTACATTCAATATTTTAACACCAACCCAACCATCATTACGTTGAAGTTTTTTTTTTAACACACATTGCTAAATTATTAAAAGGACAGAGATTTTATATTCTGACTAGTGGTAAGTTGAATAAACTTTTGTCACTGCCAGTTCTTTTTCTTTTATTTTTAGGTTTTTGGGCCTCTGCAGTTCTCAAGGTCTATTGCTGGCTCTAATGCTTAGGGGTGATCCCTGGCAGTGTCTAGGTGACCCTATGTGGTACCAGGAATTTGAACCAGGGTTGGCTTCATGTAAGGAAATACTTCCTGTATTACCTCTCTGGCCCTTACTATTAATTTTTATTATTATTTTTTATCACTTTATTTTTATTGTTTGAGATTCTGTGGTTAATAATACTGTTAATAATGTTTTCTTGGGGACTAGAGAGAGAGTACAGTAGGTAGAGCTCTTGCCTTGCATGCATCTGACCTTAATTTGATCCCTGGAGTTGCATTTGTCCCCCAAGCACAGTCTGGAGTAGTTCCTGAGTACAAAGATAGGACTAACCATGAGTATTGCCGAGTGTGACCCAAAAGTCAACCCCCGCAAGCCCCCCTTTTTAGAGAATGCAGATACCAAATCAATTATTTGTGGTGGTGAGGATGTTGCTCAGTGGTAAATCACATGTGTGGAGGACCTAGGTTCTATCTTTGGGACTGCAAAAATAAAAATTATTAGCATCATATTGTGATTACCCTTTTTGTTAGCATGGAGGTAATTGGAAACAATCAGTAAAGAAGCTTGGTTTTTATTAATGCAAAGGTTGCAAGATATTGATTGATGCTGGTTCTGAGATTTTGATGATTTGTAAATGTTATTATTTTTATTACCCAGCCTGAAGAAAATTCGTGGCAAAGTCTGGAAGCAGAGAATATCCAGCCCTCTATTCAACACCAAACAATATACAATGGAACTAGAGAGGCTCTATCTACAGATGTGGGAGCATTATGCAGCTGGCAACAAACCTGATCACATGATTAAACCAGTTGAAGTCACAGAGTCGGCCTAAATAAAGACTGTATATACAGGATTAACACCCCTATACCTGAGCCTCAACCTTCTGGGGGAAAGGGAACCAGATTATGAACTTTTCACTCCTCTGTACAGTATCATGTTGCAGATGGGTGACACTTGATGAATATAGAATAGCACAGCCAGACTTGCATCCTGCATGTAGGGAGAGACACGAGATGGAAACTGCTGTTCCATAAGGAATCTCCGTAGAATTTGGCGGTAACCAGGTGGTGCATAGGTCTGGAAGTTCTGATCTCCTTTGGTCTTCCATGGGGTGGTTAGTGTGGAGGGGAGATAAAGATTGTCCAGCCATCTTGTGATTCTATGGATTGAGTATTCTGGATTAATTTCTTTATATTTTGGGTTATTGAAGCTTTTAAAAATGTTTGGTTTCAGGTGTTTTTATTCATGTGAAGTGATTTTCTTGAGATAGGGTTTTAAGCTAAAGATTGCTCCTTGTTTTAAGTTTCTGAACTTTACAGATTATTGGAGACTTTGCTGGTGTAGTCTTTTTATCGGTTTTATAAACCACATGAGTCTATATCAGTTGTGTTAGTGTCTGACCTAATTTTTGAAGCTTATGAATGCATTGTTGGTTGGTGATGATGACTTAAAATTTTTGTCTGGTCTGTTTGACATTTCCTTCTCTTCCTCTCTCCTGAATTTAAGCTTTCTCCTGTGATTCACCTAACAAAACCCAATCAGATTCAAACGTTCCGGAGTATTTTTGTTGTTGTTATTAATACATTATCTGGTGCCAAATGAAAATTCTTAGGAGTGATTATTTAAGGGCACAGATGTGGTACTGTCATTAATGATGGTGTAGATTTTTGCCTAGTTTTGACCTATTTCATCAGTGTTCTATTACCTTTAACTGTCCCTTCCTTTATGCTGCTTCCAAAAGTGATAGTTGTGTGATAAGATTTTTACCTTCCTTTCTAGTTTGATTTTTTTTGAGTCCTGTTCTTCCTATTTCTTTCAGCAGAAATGAAATCCCAGGTAAGTATAAGAATTCAAATATTTCAGTAAGTTAGTTATTTCTAATACATTAAATAATTTCCATCAAAATATTTATAGGTAAAGTCTGAAAGATCAGTTTCTAGGGTGTTATATAATAATTGTCTTCGGAACTTGGTCTTGAGGTGTGTATGGATTCAGCCTCGGTAGTGAACTGTTCTGCTATATGGTTTGGACTTTAGCCCTGCTGGAGCTTGAGTTCTTGGTTTTAAAAAATATAGGAATGAAATTATTGAACTTCAACAAAGGATTGAGGGCTTGAGATTTAACAAGCCAACATATGACTATATGTTTTGTCTTTGCTGTACTGCACGTATGCTATCCAGTAACAGATAATTTTTGTCTGCTAGTAGTTTTCTAGATTATGTCTTTCCAAAGTGCTGAGGCAGTGCACCTATTCTGTAGTTGCAGCTGATGCCTGAATGTATCCTAGCTGACAAATTATTGATTAATAAGAACTTGAATTTCTGATTTTTACTGTTAACCAAAATCTGAGCAAAGAGTCTCAAATGTAATTCTTAGCCAGAATTACGTGTTAATGAACTGTGTACCTTTTAACAATTGTAAATCAAGAAACATCGGTTTAGAGATTTCTTAATTTATTTAAAGTTTTAAAAAATACCTGGTTGAGGTATCAGGTAAAGGTTGTTGGAATGGAATGGTGTGAATAAACTGATGTTTGAAATTCACTGAATTACTTGACGTGGAATAGGAGAATATACTTCTGATGCCCTTGGGGCTGTGTGACCTTACAGACATTTTTACATAGCATATCATTCCTTCTACAGGGATGAACTTTTTCCTGGCACAAAAAAGTTAAGCCGCTCTGTTTGAAGCTTTGCTTATTGTAACAGGCTTTTGTTTCCAGGTAACATTGTCTGTATGGAAGACTAAATTCTGAATAGAAATCATTACTGGAAACTAATAATTGTTCTTTTTTCTATTATATTCTGCTTTATCAAAAGAGTAAAATGTTTAAATTGTGGTACAGAAATCCAGATGTGTCTTGCGCTCTTTAAACAATAAATGAATGATTTGCCCTTACTATGACTGATTCATTTTTATTATTATTAATAATGAGTAATGGACAGAATAAGAGGGTCATCCAATGATGCAATATATATTTGAACAATTCTAAGTAGCCAAAGGATCAGATTTCAGTATAGTACTAATGTGATCTTAATAACTTGTTTCCTTAGCTAAATGTTATTGAGTGGTGGGCTTCGTATATGATTCACTAAGACTTCCAGCACACCTATTTGGTTCATGTTACTTAGGACCTGGGGTTACTCCTGGATCTGCCTTCGGAAATTACCTCTTGAGGTGCGTGGGGGACCATGTGGGATGCTGATGATGGAACGCAGGGGTTTCCCTTGTTCAAGGCAAGCACCCTGCCCATTGTGCTATTGCCCTGGCCCCTATAATTATTTTAAAAATGATCACTAGTTTAGCCACCACCCTTTGTGATACTCTGGACTGCTACTGGGTCTGTTCTGGGAGTTGTCTACAGGTGGTGGCCAGACTGTGCAATCTAGTAAGAAATTTATTCTAAAGTAGTAGTAGCTTCAAATGCAAGGACATTTATTTGTATTTTGTTCTCCAGACACTTAAGATTTGTAGGGCTGGAGAAGAGCACAAGCGGAAGACGGTGTTAGATTCCACAACATGGCCCAGCACTGTGGGCCGACTCACCAGCACGCAGCCAGGAGTAAACTACTCCCCCCCCCCACCCAGCACCGATAGATGGGTAATAGCCTCCAACCAAGACTTTAAAAAAAAAGATCCTGTAAGCATTTCTTTCTTTTAAGAGAAATAATTTGAAATTTTATTAAAACATCATTGTTACTGTTTTTGGCAGATTGAGTATGCCACTAATAGCTTGCCAGGCTCTGCTTTGTGGGCAGGATACTCTCGTAGCATGTCGGGCTCCCCGAGAGGGATGGAGGCTTTGGTCCTCATTCCCCTGACCCTGAAAGAGCCCCCAATATGCCATGGGCCTGCACTAGCACATGACAGGGACGAATGGAGACATTACTGGTGCCTGCTCCAGCAAATTGATGAGCAATGGGATGATAGTGATAGTGATTAAAACATCATGATTTATAAAACTTCATAATACAATAATTTCAGAAAACCTGTAACCATTCTAATACATTTTTTTTTGTTTTCTGGGCCACATTCCTGTGGTGTTCAGGGTTTATTCTGTGCTCAGAGATCACTTCCAGTGTGCTTAGGGGATCATGAGGGGTGCTGTGAATCGAAGACAGGTTGACAGCAGGAAAGCTAATGCCCAATTCATTGTACTATCGCTCCAGTCCTGGAAAATGTTTTGTTCGATCATAAATTTTTTATTTTTGCACAGTATTGGGAATGATCAACAGAGTGCCCTCTGTAGCTCCAGGGTTTGGAGAATTGTGAAGTAAAGGCCATAGTTATTTTGCTGCTTCCAAAATAACCTTCAAAAGTTATTTTGCTGCTCCCAAAACTTGCTGCCCCCCCCCCGCGCCCCCCCCCCCCCCGGGGTTGCTGCTTATATCTGTTGACATCTTAGGATGTCAACAAACTCCTTCACCGACCCCCCCCACTCTATCCCATCCCCCAAGGCTCAGTAATTTGCCGAACATCTGACAGAAAATCAAAGATCAAAGACTGGATTCACTAAGTCCTTACACTGATGAAAATTTGAGCAATCAGATTGGGCTCTGGACATTACCCCCAACATCATGCAAAAAGAGTTTTGGGTCGCTGGGTGCAGAAATGGGGTCACCTCCGAATTCATAAAATGGCGCTTTCAGGACACACGGTAACACTCACGAGTAGGCGTTACCCGGGATATAGAAACAGTGTTATAGCTTTTGTACCGGCTATGCAGAAAATACCGCGAACTTTAAATTTGCGTCGGGATCACGCAACAAGAAGTCGGTGCTGTGATAGGTGGATATAGGGATGACGTCAGATCCGTGATGCCATATATAAGGCCACACGCCCGCCTTCCCGCGCAGTTGCCGCCGATCGCGCACTGTGAGTGGGAGCTTGCCGTCGAAGGGGAGCCACTCGGCTAGACATGGAGGCAGCAGGTAAGTAAATGACCAGCCGGTTGTGATGGGCACTGAAGCGGGGTCCATTGTGAAGCTCATACTACTTGGACATATTAATAAAAAACAAGATTGGAACATTTCAGGTCACTTTGTGTGCCCCTAAACTCCGGGGCTGAGATTCTGGTAAAATGAACTTTTTTCACAGAAAACGAAAATTTTAAGACGCTGGAAAAATAATTTATGTTTGACCAGTTAGTAATAAGAGTAGTAAAATTTGGGGGGTGTAGGGGGCGGGGGGGGGTAAAATATCTCGTGGGTATTAAATGGTTCCTCAGCGGTGAGGGTTGGGGCAGGTGTCGCGCAAAGTGAGGCAGCGGTAGTACGCATGGAGGTGACAAGTAGGCTCAGATATTGTGAGTGAGAGTCCATGAGTGGGGTTCAGTGGTAGGGGGTTCGTGTTCAATGGCGGGCGTGATGGGGCTGGTGATGTACGAGTTGACTCCACGAGGCCTGATTATGTGAGATTTCTGAGACCTATAATATTACTAGGGCTGGAGGCCAAATAAAATGCTGGAATGAAAAAACTTGACCCTCCCCAGTCAGAAGTCAAGGCGGCGGGCAGCGGCGCGAGGTGGGGGGGGGCGGCGCGGGGGGGGGGGCGCGGGGTGGCGCGCGGCGGGCGGCGGTGGTGCGGGGGGGGGGGGGGCGGGGTGGGGGGGCAGGCGGCGGAGGGGGCGGGGCGGGAAGCTATGCCTCGAGTTCTGTGGAGGCTGGTAGTAGTTTTGGGGTAAGGGATCTGCCTCAGGAGCGTGGCCAGAACAGAGCGGGAGTGGAGGGCTTTGAGACCTAGTTTTGTACAGAATTCTGGTATAAGACTAGCCAAGCTGTGGTAGTGGGTTGGGATGAGCACAGCTTCTTTGCAGGAGACCTGAGTTTGATTGGCACCACATAGTTCCCTGAGGACAGCCATGTGTGCCGTGAAACAAAAAGATGGTAGGGGAAAGAAGTTTTAGTTGGATTCATGGTTTTTTTGGTGGCAGGTGAGACCCTCTAGTAGTGTCATTTCCTGAAGTACTCCTGCCTGCTGGGTAGTGCCCAGTGCCTGCAGATTTGGTGCTGCTTTGGGTCTGTGGTGCTCGGCCAACCCAGAGGTGCTCAGTGGTTTCCAGAGTACTGGGGATTGGGACTTATTCCAGTATACTATCTATCTCCTGGCCCTTAAAATAGTTGTTTTAAGATTAAGGGGTTGTTGGAGGTGGAGCGATAGTAGAGTGCCTTGCATGCGGCCTACCCTGGTTCGATCTCCCGGCATTCCATTTGGGTCCCCAAGCACTGCCAGAAGTAAAGTGCAGAGCCAGGAGTAACTCCCGCTCAGGTGTGACCCATAAAGCCAAAAGAAGAAGATTAAGGTGGTAATAGTAAGGAGGAAGGGTCCAAGACCTGGTGGCAAAAAAAAAAAAAAGAAAAAAAAACTGGGGCATGGCGCTAGGAGTCACGGTTGAAGGGGGAAGGGTGCAAGTCACAGAATGTATCTGGATATATTTGACCGAGTGTCCAGCGGGAGGGGCCTGCGGAGGGCTGGTGAATAATAATCCTGCCCACTAGGTGGCATTATAGAGCCAGGGCCCACAGATATGCCTGATCTGTGGTGCTGGAGATTACACGGGCCACAGTGCTCAGAGGCTTCTGGGCTACTGGGGATCTAACCCTGTCTCCCTGGCCCTTTTGAGAACTGTGAAGGGGTGCTGGTGATACGGGAATTTAGAACACTGAAACGCTAAGTCTGAGATAGGACAGGGGTTTGTATATATACTTAAGCCCAGTAGTGGGGAATACTGTGGGACTAATTTGAGTGCCCTCACATTTTCCAAGCTGCATAAAGGATGCATATTGTAGAATGTCAAATTGGTCCTCCATCTCTCTGTCCCTCTCTCCTCTCCCCCCTCTCTCCCTCTCTTCCTTTCCCTTCTTTCATTTTTTGTCACCCTCAAGCAAAACAATCATCTTACTCTTGTATCTCTCTCCAGCTCTAGGTTCTGGTTTCTTGAAAGCATGTACCGTTCTTTTGACTACAGATGAAAATGAGTCCAACATTTCTGAAGAACAAATGAAGGCTGAGCCCAACATTTCTGAAGAACAAATGAAGGCTGAGTCCAACACTGCTGATGAACCAGTGAAGGCTGAGTCCAACACTGCTGATGAGCCAGTGAAGGCTGAGTCCAATAATGCAGATGAGCCAATGAAGGCTGAGTCCAACATTGCTGTTGAGCCAGTGAAGGCTGAGTCCAACATTGCTGATGAGCCAGTGAAGACTGAGTCCAACAATGCAGATGAGCCAGTGAAGACTGAGTCCAACAATGCAGATGAGCCAGTGAAGGCTGAGTCCAACATTGCTGATGAACCAATGAAGGCTGAATCCAACATTGCTGATGAACCAATGAAGGCTGAGTCCAACAATGCTGATGAACCAATGAAGGCTGAGTCCAACAATGCTGATGAACCAATGAAGGCTGAGTCCAACAATGCTGATGAACCAATGAAGGCTGAGTCCAACAATGCTGATGAACCAATGAAGGCTGAGTCCAACAATGCTGATGAACCAATGAAGGCTGAGTCCAACATTGCTGATGAACCAATGAAGGCTGAGTCCAACAATGCTGATGAACCAATGAAGGCTGAGTCCAACAATGCTGATGAACCAATGAAGGCTGAGTCCAACATTGCTGATGAACCAATGAAGGCTGAGTCCAACAATGCTGATGAACCAATGAAGGCTGAGTCCAACATTGCTGATGAACCAATGAAGGCTGAGTCCAACAATGCTGATGAACCAATGAAGGCTGAGTCCAACAATGCTGATGAACCAATGAAGGCTGAGTCCAACAATGCTGATGAACCAATGGAGGCTGAGTCCAACAATGCTGATGAACCAATGGAGGCTGAGTCCAACAATGCTGATGAACCAATGAAGGCTGAGTCCAACAATGTTGATGAACCAATGAAGGTCCAGGGTGGTGATAGGTAAATTTGAAAAATTCTGTTTTCTTTTGTTTCAGGTGTGAGACATCTGGCAATATGCAAGGCAAGCGCCCTACCTGCTGTACTATTGCTCCAGCCTCCAAATTCTCTTTCCTTTTAGTTTTATCTTGTTGGCAAATTATTCCTTCCTCTAAAAAAGGGTTTATTTTGTTTAGAGTCTGCACAGTATATTATATTTATAACAATATTTTAGAATGCTTACCTGCCCTCCCCAGTATCTCTCCTCCCACCTTTACCATGTGAGCATATTATGGGAAAATGCATAAAACATAGTACACAGATTGGAAAATAGAGTCCCCTTGATGTTGCAAGCCACACAGGTAGGTATATGTAACTCCCCTCCTGCTCCTACTGCCTGAGTTCTTGAAACAACAAAAAGGGGGTGAGGACAGTAGTTACCCTGTGACATTCAGTTGAACAATTACATCAGAAAAGCAAATGGTCACCTGGTAGTCTGGCTTTTGTAGAGGCTCAGTAAACGTTGAATCAGTGAAGAATGAACCGCAGATACACTTAACTGTATTTGATTTTTTTTACTGAGTTCCAGAAATAACCAAGGAACTATTGATCCATTGTAAAAATAATCAAACTTTGGGGCTGGAGAGATAGAGGTTAGGCACTCCCCTTGCATGCAGCTGATATGGGTTTGTTCTCTAGCACCACCTGTCGTCCTCCAACAACTTCTAGGAGTGACTCCTGAGCTGTTCTAGGTGTGGCCCATAAACCAAAAAAGGAAAAGTTTTCCTTACATGCTCCCTTCCTTGTTCTGGGGTAGTAATTTGGTGCTCGTTCTTTTTCTGTAATCATAGAAATGCCCATGCACACACTATGATTGATGGTGTTTGGGTTTTTTGGTATGTTTTTGGACCAAACCTGGTTGCCTTCGGGGACCATATGGTGCTGAAGATAGAACCCATGTCATTCACATGCAAAGAAGTGCACTACTCATGGTAGGGCACTTGTAATCCTTGGCTCGTATATAGTGCTACTCATAAATAATAAGTTTCAGGATAACCAAGAGCACATTTGTTTTTTGCAGCTCAGCTTCGGAATCTGAAGCAAACGAACAGAAACCCACCAGCACAGATGCCCCTTCTGGGTAAGTCTGTTGTGCAGGCCTGAAGGTTCAGTGCTCAGGCTCTGTGATGCAGTATGTTTGAGGGAACCACCAAGCACATCTAGAAGTGCTGGGTCTGTGTCTCTCAGATGCCTGGAGGCGTGTGCTCTTACACGTCATTTCTCTCCTTATTTTCCTCTTTGCTCTCTGCATTTTTAGTTGCAATTTCTTTATCTTCCAGTTCTTTCTCCTATAGCCCCTTTCTCAGAATTCATTTTCATGGTTTAAAAACATTGGGGGCAAATACAGTTGTATTTGGGGACAGTTTCAGCGTTACTGGGGGGGACCATGTAGTGTTTGGGATAAAACCCAAGGCACCTATAAGTAATGCATATGCTTTAGTCCTTTGAATAATTTCCCTGGCCTTTATATTTCTGGAAAAAGTTTGAAATACACATTGTTACTTACGTGTTGAGCCTCCCATGTGCAAAAGCACATGCTTTGGCCATTTGAGTTTTCTCCTGTGCCCTTAAATTGTTTTGGGCTGGAGCGATAGCACAGCGGGTAGGGCATTTGCCTTGCACGTGGCCTACCCAGGACAACCCGGGTTCGATTCCTTCGCCTCTCTTGGAGAGTCTGGCAAGCTACCGAGAGTATCCCGCCCGCACGGCAAAGCCTGGCAAGCTACCCGTGACGTATTCAATATGCCAACAAGAGTAACAAGTCTCACAATGGAGACGTTACTGGTTTGCTCGAGCAAATTGACGAACAACGGAATGACAGTGCTACAGTGCCCTTAAATTGTTTTTAGTTTGTTTTTGGGTTCCACCTGGCAGTGCTCAGAGCTTATTCCTGGCCCTGTGCTTTCACTCCTGATTGTGCGCAGGGAACCATACTGGTGCTGGGGTCAGCTGTGTGCAAGGCAAACTCCTTACCATCTGTATTACCTTTCTGCCCCCTCCTCCTGTTACCATTTTATAAGGGATTTTTTAAAAAATTCTCAAGATTTATTCTCTAAAGAGGTAATCTTTGTGAAACATTAGCTGATAATATTCAGTTAGTAATTGTCTTTGTATTTTCATTAAGGCACATAATTCTCATACCATGTAATTTTTTTTTTTGCTTTTTTGGTCACACCCGGCAATGCACAGGGGTCACTCCTGGCTCTGCGCTCAGGAATTAACCCCGGCGGTGCTCAGGGGACCATATGGGATGCTGGGAATCGAACCCGGGTTGGCTGTGTGCAAGGCAAACGCCCTACCCGCTGTACTATCGCTCCAGCCCCATACCATGTAATTCTTACTTTTTACAAATTTCCACTGACCCTATTCACTTAATTTAACTATATAATCCTTAGTTAACTTAGCCAGACTTGCAAATCAACATTAAGTATAAATTTTCATATTTATAAGGGATTTTATTTGATCTATCTTTCAAAGCCTTGTAATGTGATTTCATAGTACTTTCATGAGAGTTCTGGGCTAATCTAACTGGATCAGTCTCTTTTTTTAATTTAATATTTTTAAGTTCACAATAATTTATTACACCATCCCACCACCATTATTTCAAATTTTCCCACCACCACCCAAACATGCCCCCAAAGCATGAACTAATAAATAAGTTATTTTGTATTGCTTGTTATGAATAATCTGCTAAGAATGATCCAAGTTTCCTTAGGGGAAAGTGTGTGAAGAGTGTTGTATCATACCCTGGATCCATTAAGCCCTTATATAAGAAGAGATAACTAACATGTTGTCACAGGTTGCCCCTTTATATATATCAAAATATGTTGCCTTCTACATAACACACCAACAAATGTGGTGTGCTACTCTTGGTATATCAGTGGGACAGAGTATATGTCATGGCTGCACTTACGGCTGTGCACTCCAGGAACTCTACAATTTTAAATAGGGTGAAACAACTAGAATTAAATTTTTAGCTGGATGGTGACTTTGGGGTGCGGAGGCATCTCTGTGGGGTGTTGCTCTTTCTCTTCCCATATTTATTTGTGAGTCTCTGGATTATGACTATTATGAGCTTATATGGTACCAGAGGCAGTTCGTGGGTGTGACTGCCAGGTTCCTGGAAGCACAGGGAATTGGAAGGGAGCCCATTCCCGACTCTGAGAGCCTAGAGATTTCAGTCAAAAAACCTGTATACCGAAATTTTTCAGCAGATTCATTCTTATAGATGAGGCTTATTCCGCACCTGTGATTGGCCATGAGCATGGTGGTGATTGGGTTCTGGAGGTTTTCAGCTGCTGTGTCACTGTTGGGGCAGATGGAGGGACTCACCCACCCCCCTCTGGAGTGCTCCTGATGAGATAGCCTGGTGTAGGGTCTGGAGGCATCTCTGTGGCATTGAATCATTCTTTTTAACCACCTGTTTCTTCCTCACTTTTCCTCTCAGACCTCTTCCATTGTATACAAACTGTAAATAGCTGTCTTGTTTATAGGTATTAGAGTGTACCTAATTCCTGGAGCGATAGCACAGCGGGTAGGGTTTTCACCTTACAAGCGGCCAACATGGCCGACCCGAGTTCGATTCCTCCGCCCCTCTCGGAGAGCCCGGCAAACTACCGAGAGTATTCGATATGCCAGACACAGTAACAACAAAGTCTCCAAAGGAGACGTTACTGGGCCCGCTCGAGAGTGTACCTTGCTGTCCTGTAATATTTTGTCATATTCTGCTCCTATATACCTTTTTGTGCCTTAAAAAATGTGCATAGCATAGACATATGTAAGAAAATAGATGAAACATAACCATTAGATTTTATATAATGCTACTCATTGTTAATAGGTTTCAGGATAACCAAGAGCACATTTTCCTCATTTCTAGGAATGCAACCTGCAGCTTGACTTTGGATTCTGATGTGAAAGAACATATTGAACCCAAACTGATAGAAACCCTGGCTCAGTAAGTCCACTGTGCAAGTCAGTGTTGTATGGGGATATCTGGTGATGTAGTACAGTGTAAGGTAGCACATCTACCAGTGCTGGGCCAGGACCTTGTGGGGCTAGGGATGGATCTAGGTCCTGCAGGTCCTAGGCATCTGCTCTGCCACTTGATATATTTCTTCATTCCCGTCCTTACTCTCTGGAGATTTTTTTGTGGCCACACCTGGTGGTATTCTGGGCTTACTCCTGGCTCTCAGCCCAGGGATCACTCCTGGTGGTGCTGTGGGGATCATATGGGGTGATAGAGATTAAATTTGTTTTGGCCACATGCAAGACAAATGCCCTACCTTCTGTATTAACACTCCGGCCACACTCTCTGGATTTTCAATAGCTATTTCTTTCTTTTTTTTTTTTTTTGAGTGCCCAGCAATGCTCAGGAGTACTTCTGGCTTTGCACTCAAGAATTATTTCTGGCAGTGCTTGCAGGACAATATGGGATGCTAGAGATCAAATCCTGATCGGCTACTTGCAAGGCAAATGCCCTACCAACTATACTGTCTCTCCAACCCCTCAACTGCCATTTCTTCCCCCTCTAGTTTTTTTCCCCTTATGGCCCCTTCCTCAGAATTTGTTTTTATGTTAAAAAATAACAATTTGGGGCACAGCCAGTGATTTTTGTTTTAGGAGAGTTTCTGGTATTGCTCCAGGTACCCTGTGGTGCTGGGGATCAAACCCAAGACTCCCACATGCAGAGTATATGCTTTAATCCTTGGAACCATTTCCTGTTTTCATACTTTTGAAAAAAAATTTGAAACACTAGTTACTTCTGTATGTGTGCTTCTCAGCATCTAGCTCGAAGTCTTCCACATGCAAGATACATGCTTTGACCCTTTGAACAGTCTCCCTTGCCCTTAAAGGAGGGGTGTGTGTGTGTCTGTGTGCACACGTGTATTTATTTGCTTTGTGGGCCGCACCTGACAGTGCTTAGGGCTTGCTTACTCTTGGCTCTGCACTCCTGGCAGTGCTCTACATGTTGTACTATTTTCAGCTGCCAACCCCGCCTACCCCACTTTTCATATTTTTGGACCCTACCTGGCAGTACTCAGGGCTTTCTCTTGTCTCTGTATTCAGGGCTTCCTTCTGACTCTGTGCTATTTGATAACAGATTTTTATTTGTTTATCCATTTCTAGGACTTCAAGTTGCAACTCGATTCCTGTTACTGTAGGTAAAAAACGCAAGAGACCCAGGAACTTGAAGCCTCCTGAGTAAGTCTGTGGTACAAGGAAGAAAATTCAGTGCTTAGACCCTGTGATACAGTGTGGTGTGAGGGAGCCACCAGGGCCACATTGCTGGGCACGAACCGTGTTCAGCTAAAGATGGACCTGGGCCTTGCAGTTGTCAGGTGTCAGGACTTGAGGTCCTCCTTTCACCTCATTACTCTCTGTATTTTCAACTGCCATCTTTTCATCCTTGCGTTGTTTTTCCTATGGCCCCTTTCTCAGATGATTTTAGCTACAATATATTTTGGAGAGTGGTTCCTGGTGTTGCTCAGGGCCCATGTAGTGCTTTGATTGAGCCCAAGATTCCTGCATGTAGAGCGTGTGATGTCCTTTGAACCAATTCTCTGGCCTTCGTATTTTTAGACAAAATATTTTGAAAAACTCTTATTTTCATTTATATGTGTGTTGCTGAGAATCTAACCTTAACCCAGGACCTCACATATACATGCAAAGCATTTGCTTTGCATGCAAAGCTCCATTTTTAATAGCTCATTTTTAAATATAAATAAATTACTTTGCAGAATACAGGCTTTTCACTGATAACTAATTAATTATACTCAACATCTTCCTAATATTCTACAGTAAAGATTGGGAAGCTTATTTTCTTATTTTTTCTTCCATTTCACTGTGCACTTAATTTCATCAGCACGTAAGGTCTTGTAATGTTTTACTTTCAGAAATTGGTCTCTGAGAATATGTGTGGTTCTTTGTGTTGAACTCAGGATCTCACACGTATAAGGCAAACTCACTAAAGTTCAGCTGTCTTCTCAGTTCTATTTGAGATTTTTGGACATTTACCTGCCTTTAAAGTATTTCTTTTTTTGCAGCTGCATTATAAATTTGGACTCTAGCAGTGATGATGAATTGGCGCCCCGTAAGTAAAGCCCAAACTAGTTTTATATTTTGCAGAGTAATTCAGCCAAGCCATTTTAGAAATGTGAAACGAGATTTTGGGTATTTTCTGTAAGCTTTTTCATGGTTTTTCTTCTAGGGTGTTCTAGATTGGTGAAACAGTTTTTTACTTAATTTTCCATTCTCAGGAATTGAATCTGTTTCTTTTCCAATTTATTTTCCTGTACCATTTCACTTTAGGTCTCTGTATTTATGTTTTCTATCTCATGGAAGCTATAAGGGTATAACATCACTGTTATTTAACTGTAATTTATGTACTTTAATTTTAGGGAGTTAAAGATAGGGTTAATCATATTCATATTTTATAGTAGTTCAGGTGCTTTCTGATATCCTTTTTTCCTCCCTCCCTTCCTTCTCTTTCTTCCTCTCTCTCCCTGTCTCTCTCTTTCTTTCTTTCTTTCTTTCTTTCTTTCTTTCTTTCTTTCTCTCTTTCTTTGTCTGATTTAGCTGAGTCTAAAGTGCAAGTGAAATCCTACAAGGTGGCTGTGCCAGCAGTGCAAGTGAAATCCTACAAGGAGGCTGAGCCTAAAGTGCAAGTGAAATCCTTCAAGGTGGCTCTGCCAGCAGTGCAAGTGAAATCCTACAAGGAGGTTGATGGGTAAGTAGAAAACTAGTGATTTCTATTTTTAAAAATTTTGAACCACACTCACCTGTGCTCAAGATTTATTCCTGGCATTTACTCAAGCATCACTCCGGGCATTGCTTAGGGGACCATATGTGGTGCCGGGAATGGAACTGGGTTGGCCACTTGCAAGGCATGCTGTGCTAGTTGTTCTCAATAATTGATCACATTCAGTATTTCAACATCAATCCCACCACTATTACTTCTAATTTTCCCACCACCACTGAAGCCCGCCCCACAGGCAGATGCTGAATAATTTGTATAGTATTGCTTGTTATGAATAGTATGAGATGTTGCATGACTGTGCACTCCTGGAATTCTACAACTGTAAATAATTGGGGTCTGGAGCCTTCTCTGCAGTGTGCTGCTCTCTTCCGAGATTCATTTGTGAGTCTCTAGATCTTAGCTGTTAATGCGCATACATGGTGCCCAGAGGCAGTTCATAGGTGTGACTGCTAGGAAACCAGAAGGGCAAGGAGATGGGAGAAGGTGGCCCATTCCTGCCTCGTGAAGCCTGGAATATTCAGTCACACGTCCCATGTACCTGGTTTTTCAGGGTGGGGGCCCCAGGACGAGCCTGTGAAGATTATCCATGAGTGTGGCGGCAATTGGGTTCTGGAGATTTACAGCTGCCAGGGTTCATTTGGAGCAGGCAAAGGAACAAAGCCCACTCCCCTCCGAGGCACCCAGGTGAAATCAGCCTGACTCACGGTGGGAAGACATCTCTGCAGCATGCTGCTCTCTTCTGAGATAAGAAACCAATAAGAAAATCCAAGAGGCCTCTTGTGGGTACCCCCAAATCTTGGTCCAGTTTCACTCTAGTGGCTTCAAAAGACGGGGAACTGTAGGAAGAGTGGGTTTGGGGATGTAGATGACAAGTTCAGTTTGGGGTTAAATCAGGAATAATTCCAAAGAAGGGGGACAGAGTTATTGCGGGAGACAAACCAGCAAAAAAAATTTCCTAATGATCATGTTATAATGGAAAGGTAGAAAATGCCAGGAAAGAAAAATCATTCTGTTCACTTTTCTCTTGTTTTTCCTGGTCTCATCACTTAGCTATGTGATTATCGACTCAGATTCAGATGATGATTGCCCTGTGGCCAGTAAGGAAGTGAAAACTGAAATTGAAAAAGAAGGCAAGTATTTTAATAACTTCTAGATGTAGCTGAGCTCAGTCGCCTCATTATGCTTAGTTCTTTCGGGATCTGGAGCGACAGTTGCTGTGTTCTGAATCACTCGGTGTTGACTGCTGCTATTCTGTCTCATGCATGCTGCTGCTGGTGTGGCTGGATTCTCCACACACCCCAGGAAAATTTCGAACATAGCCATTATTCTTACTGTCTTAGACCTTGGACATTTCCCTCAATAAAGTTCTTACCCACCTCACAATATCCAAGTAGGAGGGGAGAGAGTTAAGATCTGAGACAGAAGCCTAAAGGCAGCTCTGCTTCTTCCCTTGAATCGGAAGATATATGTTTTGATGATGGACTTTGAAGCAAGGCTTGTTGCTTTGACCTCCCCTTTCTTCTCTCTCCCCATGGATTCAACTCAGAGCTGCATACAGGCGAGGCTAGAGCTCTTCTATTGTGTCACATCCTGAGCCATTTATGCCTTTCTGCCAGTGGGCCCCTTAACTGTGGGCGTCCACCCCAGGGATAACGGAATGTAGAATGCTCCCTAGCTGCAGGTTATTTTCACTGTTTCCCTGCATGTCATTCGTTTAATATTGTAATTTAGGTAATTTTTCAGGAAGGAAAGGTCCAAGGAGTTGTAATATATACTTTGAACTTCATTTTTTACCAAAAACACACAGTATACTTCTATGCATATACATATTTTGAGGTGCTTGGGATTGAACGCAGGGACTCATACATGCCACAGGTGTTATACTTTGCCACTGAGCTATATCCCTGACCTTCAACTTCTTGCCTTTGTCATTGTAGTGTTTTTATTTTTATTGTTTTTCGGGGGCACACTCAGCAGTACTTGGGCTACTCCCAGGAAGTGTTTGGTTATTCATGGTGGTGTCCCGAGGACTATGAGGTACCAGGGAACAAACCTGTGCCTCCTGCATGCAGAACACATGGTCTAGTCCTTTGAGCTATCTCTCCAGCTCTAACAGTCTTTTTTGTCGAGGTTGGGGGAGCCTCAGGATTCTGCAGTCAAAGATCAATCCCAGCAGGTTTGCAGGACTATAAGGGGTACTGGGATTGAGCCAGGGTTAGCTGCCTGTAAGGCAAGTGCCCTACCTTCTATACTATCTCTCTGGCTTCTAGACATTTTTATTTTAAGAAGTATGTATGTTCTTTAACTTAAAACATTTTAACTGCAGATGGAAATGTCTAACTTTCTTAGTTGTTGAAATGTTTTAAAACAGACTACAGACATTCTACTTATAATAAATAAAAATGTCCAGGAGGAACTTTGTGCCATAAATACATCTCTACATTTGCCTTTGCCCTGGTTTTCATATCTGAAAGCACAGAAGGCCAGAAATAGAGCATTGAGCGGGCACTGGGGAACATTACATACTGCCCTTTTTTCCAGTCACAGGCCCCTTTGATGAGGGGGTGGCATTTCCAGTGTTTCCCAAGCCCTCACTCTCAATCACATTAGTGTTTTTGATAGCTTTATACTTATAGACCCATTAACTTATATTTTGGTACCTCATTTAAAGTTCTCATTTAAAAATTTTGTCTAATGATGGGGATAAAACAGTCTCACCTACCATCTATTACCACATTATTATTTTTTTTTTTGGTTTGTGTAAATGTTTCTTTTTTTTTTTTCCCTTTATTTTATTTTATTTTTTTTAAAGTTGTAGATTTACAATTTTTTGTGCTTTGGTTTCAATTATACAATGATCAGATACCCATCCCTCCACCAGTGCCCATTTTCCACCACCATGGATAATATCCCTCCCACCCCCGTCCCCCCATCCCCCCTGTCTCTGTGGCAGGGAAATCCCCTGTGTTCTCTCTCTCCTTTTGGGTGTTGTGGTCTGCAAAAGAGGCATTGAGTGGCAAACATGTTCAGTCCATAGTCTACTTTCGACATGCATCTCCCCTCCTGGGAGGATCCTCCAAACATCCTTTATTTGGTGCTCCCTTCTCTATCTGAACAGCCCTTTCCTCTAGGATACCCGGCTGGCCTCTAAGTTATGGAGTAATCCTCCTGGTGCTGATCTCAGCTATTCTTGGGTATTAATCTCATACTTTGTTACTTTATATCCCCCAGATGAATGCAATCTTTCTATGTCTATCCCTCTCTTTCTGACTCATTTCGCTTAGCATGATACTTTCCATATTGTACCACTTGTATGTAAATTTCATGACTTCATCTTTTCTAAGAGCTACATAGTACTCCATTGTGTAGATGTACCAAAGTTTCTTTAACCAGTCATCTGTTCTTGGGCATTCAGGTTTCTTCCAGTTTCTGGCTATTGTAAAGAGTGCTGCAATGAACAAACAAGTGCAGATGTCACTTCGACTATACATTTTTGCCTCTCTGGGATATATTCCCAGGAGTGGTATTGCTGGGTCAAATGGGAGCTCAATTTCTAATTTTTTGAGAATTGTCCATACTGTTTTCCAGAAGGGCTGAACCAGTGGACATTCCCACCAACAGTGAAGGAGTGTCCCTTTCTCGCCACATCCACGCCAGCATCGGTTGCTTTTGTTCTTTTGAATGTGGGCCAGTCTCTGAGGTGTGAGATGGTATCTCATTGTGGTTTTGATCTGCATCTCCCTGATGATTAATGATGTAGAGCATTTTCTCATGTGCTTTTTTGCCATTCGGATTTCTTCTTTGAGAAAGTTTCTGTTCATTTCATTGCCCCATTTTTGGATGGGGTTGGATGTTTTCTTCTTGTGGAGTTTAACCAGTATTTTGTATATCCTGGATATCAACCCCTTGTCAGATGTGTATTCGGTGAATATCCTTTCCCATTCTGTAGACTGTCTTTGTATTTTGGTCACTGTTTCTTTGGAGGTGCAGAAGCTTCTTAGTTTAAGATAGTCCCATTTATCTATCTCTGTTTTCACTTGCTCGGCCAGTGGCGTGGCATCTTTGAAGATACCATTAGCTTCAATGTCATGGAGGGTTTTGCCAACTTTATCTTCAATGTACCTTATGGTTTCTGGTCTGATGTTGAGGTCTTTAATCCATTTTGATCTTACTTTTGTACATGGTGTTAGGCAGAGTTCTGAGCCTATTTTTTTGCATGTAGACGTCCAGTGATGCCAACACAATTTATTAAAGAGGCTTTCCTTACTCCACTTCACATTACTTGCACCTTTATCAAAGATTAGATGAGCATATGATTGAGGAGAGATGTCAGTGTATTCAACCCTGTTCCATTGGTCTGCAGTTCTGCCTTTGTTCCAGTACCATGCTGTTTTAATTATTACTGCTTTGTAGTACAGTTTGAAGTTCGGGAGGTTGATTCCTCCCATTTTCTTTTTCCCAAGAATTGCTTTAGCTATTCGTGGGGGCTTATTGTTCCATATAAATTTCAAGAGTGTTTGCTCCATTTCTTTGAAGAATGTCATGGGTATCCTTATAGGGATTGCATTGAATTTATACAATGCTTTCGGTAGTATTGCCATTTTGACAATGTTAAGTCTCCCGACCCATGAGCAGGGGATATCTTTCCATTTCCTCATGTCCTCTTTTATTTCCTGAAGTAGCGTTTTGTAGTTTTCTTTGTACAGGTCCTTTACTTCCTTAGTTAAGCTGATTCCTAGGTACTTGATTTTCTGGGGCACAATTGTGAATGGGATTGTTTTTTTCATGTTGCTTTCTTCTCTCTCACTGTTTGCGTATAGGAAAGCCATGGACTTTTGGGTATTGATTTTATAACCTGCAACTTTACTATACGAGTCTATTGTTTCTAGGAGTTTTTTGGTGGAAGTTATTGGGTTCTCTAAGTAGAGTATCATATCATCTGCGAATAGTGAGAGCTTGATTTCTTCCTTTCCTACCTGAATGCCCTTAATATCTTTTTCCTGCCTAATCGCTATTGCAAGTACTTCCAGTACTATATTGAACAGCAGTGGAGAGAGTGGGCATCCCTGTCTCGTCCCTGATCTTAGAGGGAAGGCTCTCAGTTTTTCCCCATTGAGGATGATGCTTGCTGTAGGCTTGTGGTAGATGGCTTTAATTATGTTGAGGAAGGTCCCCTCTATACCCATTTTGGCTAGGGTTTTCATCATGAAGGGGTGCTGGATCTTATCAAATGCTTTCTCTGCATCTATTGATATGATCATATGCTTTTTATCTTTTCTTTTGTTGATATGGTGGATTATGTTGATTGATTTCCGAATGTTAAACCATCCTTGCATCCCTGGGATGAATCCTACTTGGTCATGGTGTATGATCTTTTTAATGAGTAGTTGGATTCTATTTGCTAGTAGTTTGTTGAGGATCTTTGCATCTGTGTTCATCAGGGATATCGGCCTGTAATTCTCTTTCTTTGTTACCACATTATTTTCATGCAGTATGAAGAGCACCAAAAATTTAGTGTCCAAAATCTTAATAAAGGGCAGTCCTTTAGGGGCTGGAGCAATAGCACAGTGGGTAGGGCGTTTGCCTTGCACGAGGCCGACCCGGGTTCGATTCCCAGCATCCCATGTGGTCCCCCAAACACCGCCAGGAGTGATTCCTGAGTGCAGAGCCAGGAGTAACCCCTGAGCATTGGCTGGGTGTGACCCAAAAAGAAAAAAAAAAGGCAGTCCTTTAAATAAAATGATAAAAGTTAAACTTGTTGAGGAAAAAACCTCCACTTTATTGTTCTAGTTTCTCTTACTTAGCCACTGAACTATATCCCTGACCTCCAACCTCTAGCCTTTGTCATTGTCTTTTTGGGGGAGGGCACATCCAGCAGTACTTGGGCTACTCCCAGGCTCAGTGCTTGGGTCACTCCTGGTGGTGCCCCACGAACCATGAGGTGCCAGGGAGCAAATCTGGGCCTCAGATAACTATTTTTTTCACCACGGCGCAAAGGCAAATGTGGAGATACGTTTATAGCACAAAATTTCATCATAGAATTGCAGCCTGGAAATACTTTGAGAGTCTCATCTGTTGTCTGAATTCATTATTTAAAGAACTTCAGATATGCAATAAGGACAGAGAAAAGAGGGGGTATTACTATGGTTTAAGAAGGCATCCTTCCCATAGAAAGATTGCATTCATCTGGGGAATATAAAGTAACAAAATAGGAGATTAACACCGAAGAATAGCAGAGGTAAGTACCACGAGGTTTACTCCATGGCTTGGAGGCCAGCCGCACATGCTAGGGGAAAAAGCAGCTCAGATAGAGAAGGGAGCGCCAAGTAAAGGGTGTTGGGAGGATCCTCCCAGGATAGGAGAAGCATGCTGAAAGTAGACTATAGACCGAACATGATTGCCACTCAATGCCTCTTTTGCAAATCACAGCACCCAAAAGGAGAGAGGGAACAAAAAGGAATGCCCTACCACAGAGGTGGGGTGGGATGGGAGGATGGGGAGGGGGGAAGGATGGGCACTGGTGGAGGAATGGGTACTCGATCATTGTATAACTGAAACCCAAGCACAAAAATTTGTAAGTCTACAACTGGTGTTTCACTAATAAAAATTTAAAATAATAAAAAAAAAAGGGAAAAAAAAAGAAGTCATCCTTCCTTGGAAACAAGACATTTTTCACCTGCAGTGGAAATGTTTTAAAATAGACCTACTACTTAAAATACAAATTATTCATTTTTTTAAATTTAAAATTATTTTATAATTAAAAATTATTTTGTTATTTTTAATCACCAAAAGATAGAAGTCTCCAAACCTGTATTTGGGAACCACTAAGAACTGACATTGGGGTACTTAGTAGGATTTGAAAATTGCCTTTGGACATGGATTGCTGTTTCATCTCTCACAAAAATTCACAAATCACAAATCATCCTGTTATTCGTCGATTGCCTCGAGCAGGTTCCAGTAATGTCTCCTTCATCCTAGCCCTGAGATTATATTCAAGGCTCTTTAGGAGAATGAGACCCATCATTGTTACTGGTATTTGGCATATTGGGTACGCCAAGGGGAGTTTGCCAGACTGCCCTGTGGGCAGGCTACATTCGGTAACCTGCCAGTTTGTCCAAAGTAGGAATGAGATAATAAGATAATAAGATGTCATAATAAGATGTCGCGCGGCCGGGATCTGGTTTCATCTCTATTCTCAGGAAATGTTAAAAGTAATGGAGGGGAAAGAAATGGTGTCATTCATAATGAATATTATGCTTCTTGGTTTGTTTCATTTATGCAAAGTAATCCAAAGGTGAGTGTTTCAGAGCTAATGGTGGAGGTAGTGCATTTATAGGTCGTTGTGTTTCTTGAATCTTAGATCTGTATCTGAAAGTTGAATCTGTGCCAAGCAGTGCTTCTACTATATTTATTGATGATGAGGATGATGGTAATGCCCAGGATATCCCTTTTCTCACTGAAGAGTTGAGTGATCAGAAAGGTCTTACAAGTACTGGCTCTGACAGCAACTCAGCTGATTTTGAAAAGCCCTGCCAGTCCTCAAAGTGTGGTCTGTCTAAAGAATTGTACGGTAGATCGGGGATCATATATAAAGAGTGCACGCCTGTGCCAAAGGAGTCAAGGAGAAGCAAAACCAAAAAGACAGTTACTACTGGTAAGTCAAATAAGCCAAGCATTGCTGTCCCAAACTACTCTACCAACTCTGTATCCCTGTGCCTTCCTTGCCCTTTCCCTGAATATGTTTATCTTGTTGTGTCTGCCTGCTCTGCCTCCCAACACTGTGCCTTTTTAATAATACTTTCCTGTGGCCGTGGGACAGACATCCCTGTGAAAGAGATCTTTAAAGGGATAGGGAAGAAGAACCTAAGACTTTCTCATACTCTCCTATTTTAGAATTAGTTCTATCCACCCTGAGTACTTTCCCTTGCACTGTACCTGGTCGGGGGCAGGTTTGGGCTACACCTTTTAGTGCCCATGGACTATTCCTAGCTCTGTTGAGGGAGCATTTGGGGAAGGGTATGTGGTACTAGGAATCAGCCGCCCTGCACTTTTTCCTGGGTATGGCCATTTTTGTAGGATTTGGCTCAATTGTTAGTGCTTGGAGAAATTTTTATTTATGGTTGAAGTGGGTCACACTTGGTGGCACTCAGCTGACTCCACGCTCTGTGCTTAGGGATCACTCCTGGTGTTGCCAGGATATGGTGCCATGGATTGCCAGGACTGGTGCCATGGATTCTATTGCTGACACTTTTTTAGTTCATGTGCTTTGTGCTGTTTCATCGTGGTGCCTGGGATCCCAGACAGTGGTGCTCCCAGGAACTTGCAACACATGTGAGGTTGTGCCTAGGCTTAAACTTGTGGCCGTGCCATTGTAAAGCAAAGTGTTTTGCCACTGAGCTATGCCTAATACAATTTTAAAATACTCTTTTTTTCCAGCTGTTAAACCACCAAAAAAGAAGTGTAGACGTTCAAAGAAGAAGTCCAGTGCAGAAAAAGAAGAACATGAGAATAAGTATGTGCTCCTCTTGATGATTGGAAAAGGAATTGGTTACACAATTGCCACATTAAACACTCCACAGGGCTGAGTACACACCCCGGGTGGGGATTTCAAGGGGATGAATGAGTCAGGCTGGGGAAGGGACCAAAGTTTCATTTTTGAGTTGGGGGGGCAGGAGGAAGAGAAACTTCTTGGGCTTCTTTCCTCCCTTCATCCTGATAGGTCCGGTGGGGACACTCTGCAAAGATCTCCATGGTTCCCTGGGTGTAGAGGCTCCTTTGTCTTTACACATTGACAATTAGTGATGTGTAGCCAAAGGAGACCTACCTACCCACCTTTCTTCTTCAGCCATGTGGCCATCGGTTTATTGTAAACCAAAGCCATTGTGGTAGAAATTGTGAGAGGGCAGGAATGGCATGATCTCATGTGTTGGAATTTGAAATCAGTCAAGAGTGTCTTCCAGTGTTTTCTAGTACTTTAGATGAATCCAGTTATTCTTACTCCTTGGTTAGATTCTTGTAACTTTTTTGTTTTTTTGGGGGGTGGGGTGGGGTGTGACCCCAAGACGCTACTGGTTCTGCACTCAGGAATTATTCCTGGCAGTGCTCTGGGGACCTTGCCGCGGGTCAAACCCAGGTTGGTTGCATGCAAGGCAAATGGTGTAGCTACTGTATTATGCCTCTGCCCCCTCTTGTGACTTTCTTAAGCTTAAATATTAGGCTGCACAGAGTTCCTTTTTAACAAATTAAGCTACACTTCAATTCTACAGCATGCTTGTATTTCCTACAGGATCTGATATTCCAACAGTGCTTGCGAGAACATGATTAAATCAGTTTGAGGCATTGCCCTACTCCATCCAGAGTAGGAAATTTATAGACTCCAGACAATTGCAAAAAAGTTATACTACTATGTGGGATTGATAATGAAAACCACAGTTTGTGTAGACCAACACTCTGAATACTTAAAGCAAAAAGAACATTTTTTTCTAATTAGAATTTGGAGCTTCTAGCTTTTCTCCCTTTAAAAACATGTCAGAGCTGGAGTGATAGTATAGTGGGAAGGGCATTTTTCTTGCATGTGGCCAACCTAGGTTTGGCCAGGTACCTGTATTCCATATGGTCCTTGAGCCCATCAAGAGTGATCCCTGAGCACAAGGCCATGAGTAAGCCCCGGGCACACCCACTGTGGCCCCAAATCCATGATTTTCATCAGTTTAAAAACTTATATTGAGGGATGGTGTATGCTTACATTTGTTTTATTAGAGAAGTACAGTGTGTTTATTATAATTTTAAATTTTGTTTGGCTGCATGCAAGGCAAGTGTTTTACCCACTGTATTATCTGATCCCTGCACATTTGATTTTAATTTGTATATTGGAATAATGCATATTAAAGGGAGGAAAAAGAAGGATGTGTCAGGGATCGGGGCCAGAGTAATTTTGATCTAACCACAGAGACTGCCTTCTCACAGCGACCTATATGATGCCATGGATCGAACTGGGGTAAGCACCTTACCATCTGCACTTTCTGTCCAGCGCTCAAAGTGGAAATCTTGAAAGTATTCACAATGACTTTGGAGGGTGGCTGTAGGGATTATGATAACAGAAGAAAGTTCTTTGCATGTGTGAAAATGTCATGCTTTGCAGTACTAAAAAGTTTATACCTTTGAGGATTTTTGGTTCTTGGTAGGGATGGAGATAGGGCATTCTAGGATATGGGCAAGCAGGTTGTGCCGAGGGGTGATCAGAAATCACAACTCAGTGTCCCAGGAATGTTTAGATTTTGCCCACTTTGACTACCTAGAACTGGTGCTTGGAAAGAGGTATTGAGAACAGCATCACTCATGCCTTGCATGCCAGATCAAGCAGTGAATGTAAAACCAGAGGTATATGATTGGAACATGCCTAGGGCAATTAATCTGTAACATTGGAGTAGAAGGGAAAACCTAGAGGTGAGGAACAAAAGTTATAGAATGCTGCAGTATTGTTGCATAAAATTAGCTGAAGGGAAATTGACTGATTGGGAAGGAGGGACAGGATGGAAAAAAACGTGTACAGAGAGCAGGATTAGGTTTGTGTTTAATCAAATATAAGGAAAGGAAGAAAATGGTTTAGAAAATGTCTTGGAGGGAGCAGAGCAATAGTACAGTGGGTAGGGCCTTGCACATGGCTGACCAGGGTTTGATCTCCGGCATCCCATGTGGTTCCCTGAGCACCAGGAGTAATTCCTGAGAGCAGAGTCAGGAATAACCCCTGAGCATTGCCGGGTATGACCCCCCCCCCCCCCCAAAAAGCCAAAAATAAATGAAGTCTCAGAAGGTTTCTGCCTGTTAAAACAGAAGTTGGGTAGTGAAATGTATTGAGCGTGAGACATATCCCTGTTAATTGGAAATTTCTATGAAGCAACTGTAAACTCAGAGCTGGACCACAGGAGAGACATGTGGACTCCATGCAGGTTGGGTGGGATCTTTTGTGTTGATGTGGAAACCATGGGTTCTGTGCCTCTGAATATATACATGGAGAAAAGAGAAAACAATGGAACCTTGGGACATGCCCTCATAAGATCCTGAAAAGGGACTGGAAGTTTTTTGTTGTTGTTTTTTCTTTTTGGGTCACACATGGCGATGCACAGGGGTTACTCTTGGCATTACACTTAGGAATTACTCCTGGCGGTGCTTCAGAGGACCATATGGGATGCTGGGAATTGAACCCGGGTCAGCCACGTGCAAGGCAAACGCCCTACATGCTGTTTACTATCACTCCAGCCCCAGGATCGGGAAGTTTTAAAAAAAATACTCTTTTTTGGGTTTTTTTGGTGCAACACTCAGCATTGCCTAGGGTACTCCTGGTTCTGCACTCAGGGATCATAACCTAGCAGGGTGCTGGGGATTGAACTTAGATTGATCACATACGAGGCAAGTGCACTACCTGCTGTAGCATCTCTCCACTGCCCGCCCCCCCCCCCCCAATCTCTTGATATAACCTGTATATGTGCATTTTCTTCTGTTTATTATGCTACACAAAACTCAGCTGAATTTCCCTTTGCAGGGATGCCAACTGCAATATCCCTGGATGTTTCCTACGTGGAATAGAAAATGAGAAGTGCTATTCTGGAAAGAATTTCAAACGTAACAGAGATGAGCTGGTCCAGAAAATCTATGCTCTGTTTAACAGCTCCGTCTTTGACAACAAGGTGAATCAATAAGGGACTTATCACTTCTCAGCACCTGCAGTATGCTCAGCACGCTTGGGTGCCGACTTACAGATGTGCTGTATATAATTATCTGACCCTGGGAGGCCCCAGATGGGGAAGATGAGATGTACCTATGGTTTAGTGAAAGAACTTAAATAATATTTGGGGTTGTAATATATGGTACAGACTAGGACAACTAGAGAAAACAAGCAGAGAGAGAAATCATTGGGAGCCTTAGTACTTAGGAAATTGAGTTGCTTGGAGGAAATGAAAATTGTTCTGGTTCTTAAAGGAAGGAACGTGGAGAGAACAGAAGTCAGGGGGAGAGGGTATATGTTGTGGCTGGCCTGTCTGGAAGGAACTATTCGAGTTAAAGGCTTAAAGGAATTGGGCAAGTTACTGACCCCCTTGTTGCCTCAGTTTTTCCATCTGTGAAACAGGAGCAATAATAGCACCTCTTAAATAGAATTATTGTTAGATCTGAGAAAGTTACTCCATATAATGTGCCAATAAGAGGGCCTATATAACATAGTGGCCAACACTTGTTAGCTGAGAATTTTTTCTGACTATGGGTCACATAGTCAGAAAATCCAGGCCGCAACCGGCTATGCTTAGGACTTATTCCTGGCAAGCTCAGGGAACCATATGGGATGTCCTCAGATGTATTTGACACTTGTTTTGTAGCTCCTGTGCACAGGTTTCTGTCATCTCCCTGTCTCCTTATAAGGAATCACAAAGCTTGCCCTCAGTGCTCTTGCCAGTCTAGTCAGTCTGCTTTATGTTCCAACTGCCTGGTCAGTGTCTTGACCTGTGCCGTGATTTGGCCTTTCCTTGGTTGTTTTGTTTTGGGGCCACACCCAGCAGTGTTCAGACCCATTCTTGCTCTTAGGAATCACTCCTAGCAGTGCATTGGGGACCATATAGGATTCTGGGGATCGGACCTGGGTGGGCTGTGTGCAACGAGGACACACTGCCCGCTGTACTATCACTGTGGTCCCCTGGCCTTTGTTTTCTGCACAACTTTAGATGTCAATTTTTTTTTATTTTTGGGTCACACCCGGTCATGCACAGGGGTTACTCCTGGCTCTGTACTCAGGAACCACTCCTGGTAGTGCTCAGGGGACTATATGGGATGCTGGGATTCGTACCCGGATCTGCTGCATGCAAGGCAAATGCCATACCTGCTGTACTATCACTCCAGCCCCGAGATGTCAATTTTTTTAATGCTTAAGAAACAAAAGTTAATTTTACAGTTTAAGTAGATGTGTGGGCTGGAGTGATAGCACAAGGGTAGGGTGTTTGCCTTGCACGCAGCCAACATGGCTGACCCGAGTTCGATTCCTCCGCCCCTCTCAGAAAGCCCGGCAAGCTACCGAGAGTATCTCGCCCACATGGCAGAGCCTGGCAAGCTACCCGCGATGTATTCATATGCCAAACACAGTAACAACAAAGTCTCCAATGGAGACGTTACTGGGCCCGCTCAAGCAAATCGATGAACAACGGGAGGATAGTGAAAGTGAAAGTAGATGCATCTGGGTCCCTTTCAAATGTGCAGGCCTCGCCTTTTTTTTTCTTTTATCTGCGTGCGACCTCTCTTGTCTGGTTCCCTGATGCCTATGATATCCTTGTACAGTCTCTCATGGTGTATGATAACCTAGTCTTGTTCCTACTGTTCTCAATCCAGTGTGTTTCTAGTCTGCACCGCATCTGAAACCCTGTCACCTGTGTCCCCTTGCTGGAGTCTGCTACTCTGATACCTGTTGCTGGGCCTCTCTGGAGCAGTACCCCAGTAACTCCCTGTGCCCAAACTTTCCTTAATCTCTGGCCACAGCCACATGTGCATGAGTGAAACCCTCTGCTGTCCTGCCATCTGGGCATAGACGAGAGGGGAAAAAAATTGGGTATACAAAACTCTTAAGATGTTCGTTTCTGGTTGGTGTCCAGCTGCTTTCTGATGGAAGGTTTTCTTTCTCTTGTCAGTTGCCGGAGAACATAGAAATTAAGTGGAATAATAAGATGTTGAGAACTGCTGGGCTATGCACCACTTGCAGGACAAATCATCCGAATTACCAGCGCTATGCCACGATTGATATTGCTCTGAAAATCTGCGACTCTGCAGGTAATTGCAGGAGCACAGTAGTGCTCTTTGTCAGGGGGTAGTACTCTGTCACTCTCAGGTGCTGCTCTGTTGTATGGCAGCCTGTGCTCCACCGCCCCCCAGTTTTACCCACCATTCCTGAGTTGATAGTCCTGCTGTGTGTTGCTTAGAGCAGTGTTGTACAACTGGGGGCCATATGGGTTATCCCCCTCCCGATAGTTATTCCAAGGAAAATTATGTACATGGAAGCAGGGCATGGGATGATTAGAGGGGTCAATAGGTAGGACAGGGTGTGCATGGTTAGAAAGAAGGTTGAGAAGCACTGACTTAGAGGACACTGATTGGACATCTCACTGTCCTGAGAATCCAACTTGTCCATATTTCTCCTCGGCCCAGTTCTTGCCCTGCAACCTCCTATTGCCAAGGGCAGCATATCCATTTTCCCAGGAGGTTCTATCTGGCCAAATCACCAGATCTTTGAACTAACTCTCCTTAGCATCATTCCCTCTCCATCTTTGCCTCTGCTCACAGCCTGGGTGCTCGCCACCTTACTCTTCTCCCTGACCTACTCATTCCCCTGCGTGTGCATTGCTCACCTCCTGAGTAACTGCTGATGCCTACAGCCTGGGGCCTCATGCCTCATTTAGCCAGTTTTCTCTCTCACTGCCTTCCACCAGCTGATGCTCCAAGGAGGCTGGCTTCAGTCACACAGTGCCTTCCAGGCCCCAACCTTGGCACATATTTTCCACCACAGCTAGAATTGCCATTCTTATATGTCCAGTCCAATAAATTGTTAAGGCCCAACTTCTCCATGGAACTGCTCCTGATCAAATCCCTTGCTTCCACCCTGTCCACTTCTTTCCCTAAAGTGAGAAATCAGACCCGAACTGCATGTGTTTCTGGTAAGGAGCTGCAAAATTGGGAGTACCTTGGAGCTGTTCTGAAAAGGCTTTTCACCGAAGGCTTCCTGCCATTAGCAATATTAGGTTGATGTAGGTGGATGTTTCACTCCCAGAGTCCCGGGGAGTGAGGCAAACTCTTGTCTGTCTGCATATGTGATAAAAGATGCTTTGCGTCAGGTAGGGTGGAGAATCTGGGTATTTGGTTGTAAACCAGAAGACAGTGCTCCCATAATTTTATTTTTTTATTCCTCTTCTAAGACCGACTCCGTGATATTTTGATCCATGAAATGTGCCATGTGGCATCCTGGATTCTTGATGGTGTCCATAGTTGTCATGGTAGTACATGGAAGTATTATGCCAGAAAGTCAAATATGGTGCACCCTGAGCTGCCCAAGATCACGCGTTGTCATAACTACAAGATTAACTACAAGATTCATTATGAATGCACTCAGTGCAAATCTCGGTAAGATTCTTCTCTGGCTTTCTCTTCTCTCCTCCCCTCCTTTCTTTGTTTTGGGGCCACAGTTGATTGTGTGCATGGTTTATTTCTGACTCTCTACTTGGGGAGCACTCCTGGCAATCCTGGGGATGCCATATGGAGTGCCAGGGACCAAACCTAAGTTAGCAGTATAAAAAGGTAAGCATCCTACCTGCTGTATTGTCGTTCTAGCCCCTCTGTTCTAGGGCTTTTTCCAGTTAGGGTTTTACTGTTTCCTGCAAGTGACTTTTTAATGATTTTATTGCTAAGTACATAGTTGTCTGATTTGAGTGAGGGCTCTTCTAAAAAAAACTTGTTTTGGGCCCAGACCTATTGGTACTTAGGGGTTTAATCTCAGTTCTGTACTTGGGATCACTCCTGTTGGTGCTCCAGAGTGCCTTGGATCAAACCCGGGCCTCAGCTAGTTGAGATAGTTGTTGGGCCGGAGAAGAAAAATCTCATTACCCCTTTCTTTTTTTTTCCTTGGATTTTGGGCCACACCTGGCAGAGCTCAGAGCTTACTCCCCACTCTGCTCTCTGGAATCTTTCCTAGTGGGATTGGGTGACTATGCAGTATCAGGGATAAAACCTTGCAGGCGTTGGCTGCATGCAAAGCAAGTGCCCTACACGCTGTCCTATCTCAGCCCCTCATTACTTCCTATGCCCTCTTCATTCTCTCCTGCTTTGAGCTGGCTTGAGCCCTGCTGCTGCTGCTGCTTCATGCCTCACCCTCACTCTCTGAGAACTCACAGGAGAAATGGTAAACTTTTGGGTCCTCGACCAGTAGCTCAGAGAGAGTACAGTGACTGATTCATTTGTTGTTTGATGTCTCCTTTCTCACTAGGGTTGGCCGCTATTCGAAATCTCTGAACACAGATCGCTTTATATGTGGAAACTGCTGGGGGCCTTTGGTTTTGGTGCCATTAACACGGAAAGATGGTACCCCCATTGCTCCTCACGTGAGGCCTTTTGCAAAGTTTGTGAAAGAGCATTACAGAGTAGTTAAGAAGAAGACCGCAGGGATTTGTCATAGAGATGTGATGAGAGAGCTCAGCAAGGCCTTTTTAGCCAAGAAACAGATGAATATTGCTTAAGGTATCAGAGAGTAGATTTGCTTGACCTGAAAGAAAATTTAGAAAGGTTAGACGTTTCAGGAAAATATTAATTCCTTTGAATCTTTGCATTTAAATGTATTGTTTCATGTTGTTAAAAAAAATTTTTTTGAGTTTTTTTGTGGTGCTTGGGCTGTTTTTGCCTCTGTACAGAGTAACCACTCGGATTGTATGTAGTGCCAGGGATGGCTAAAGAGGATACTTGCAAGGCCATTTGCCTTATTTCTAGCTTCATGATTGTTCTTAACCAGGGGTAGGATGCCTGGCTTTTAGGCTATAATCAAAAGGAGGTTCTTGGGGTTTTTACTTAGACTTCATTTTAGCACATAGAACAAAATGTAAAAAATAGGTTTTTATGAGGGGCCAGTTAAGTAAAGAATAGTGCTGGAGAGAGAACAAGTTTTAGGGGAAGTACTTCAAAGCCTGGGTGGCTATGTCAGATGTAACTTGTTAAACCAACCAGACATGAAAGACAGCTGTGTTTCATGCATTCAGTTGCTGTTGACATTGAACAAAACCTCTTGAGCCAATGTAATTGTTCATAAAACTTTTAAAAAATAAACATTTTCTGTAGTTTACTTGTTTTAAAAGTCTATTCATTGACAACGTGTGCCTAGAGAAAAATATACACCCTTTGCCCCCGCATCTGGAGCTTTTGGGATGTGTCTGGAAGAAAAGTCCTCATTGTTTCTCTGGTTTGCTTGTATTAATTTATTTTGTACTTTTTGGGTTACAGCCAGTGGTGCTCAGGGCTCTGTGCTCGGGGATAACCCTTGGAAAGCCTGGGTACCATATGGAGAGCCAGGGATCAAACCCAGGCCGGCCATATGCAAGGCAGATACTGAGCTGGAGCCACAGTACAGTCGATAAAGTGCTTACCTTGCATGCGGTCAACCCAGTCTAGACTCTTGACACTACGTATGGTCCACTGAGCCTGGCAGGAGTAACCTCTGAGTACAGAGCCAGGAGAAAGTCCTGAATACTGCAGGGTATGGCCCCTAAACAATGAAATGATACCCCAAAAAAGTCTGTCTTGTATTATCACTCTGGTTCCTTTGCATTTCCAACTACTTGTATTTCAATTGCCTCTTCCCTCCTAGAAGATATCTGGAATAAATAAAAAATTGGTGTCAGCATTGTGTTTAGTGACACCAAATATCCCAAATGTATTATCTAACAGTTCAAGTAGAGGTAAGAAGTCTGGCACTGCCCTTTCTGGTTAAGATCAAGGTTTGGGCTAGAAGGGCTGTATTCCTCTCCAGATGCCTTGGGGTTGGGGACCTGTCCTTGATTCCTCCTAGCTTTGAGAGGCTGCCTGCATTACTGGGTTTGTGGTCTTTCTCCAATTTCAAATCCAGAAATATCTATTTCTCCCACTCTTCCCTTCAGTCTGCCTTTCACTTTCAAGGAACTTTGTCTCTACCTCAGTAATTCAGGAGAATCATACTTTTTTTGGGTGTAGGAGTACTGCCATTTATTCAGCCACTGATTAGCTGATTGAATTGTGCATGAACTCCACCTTACATTTTTTTTTATAATTTTATTTATTGAATCACTGTGAGAGCAGTTACAAAGCTTTCGGGTCTAAGTCTCGGTCAAACAATGAAACACCCATACCTTCACCAGTGTCCATTCTCCACCACCAAAAACCTCAGTATGCCCCCATCCCACACCCTCCCCCCACCTGTGGGCCAGATGATTTCCACATTACTCTCTCTCTATTTTGATCACATTCAATATTTCGACACCAGAGCCACCATTATTATTTGGGATTTTACCCCAACACTCAGATCTGCTGAAAAGGCAACAGTAGACAATTTGTGTTCTATTGCTGGTTATGAATAACATATGATGTTGCATGGCTGCAGTAGGGCCATGTGATTTTGAAATTCCAAAATTTTAACACTTAAATCTGGAGGGATTTCTGCCAAAAGCCACTGGGTTTCAAGATTTGCTCCTGAGTCTCTGGGATCATGGCCATTAAGCAGCTTGATCAGGAGCCAGAGAGGCCCTTCGTGGGCGATGACTTGGGGTCTCGTTGGGGTGGGGAGGACAGGCCCGGCTCCCCCCCTTCCCGTGAGACCCAACAAGTTTTGTCACTGCAGGCCCAAGCCTGACTGTCCAATGACCTCTGGAGGATGATGGCCACCGAGCTGCCAGGGGGAAGCAGGCAGAGGGACAGCACCTTTTCCCCCCTGGGGTGGCTTGGCAACAGTAACCTACTGCGGGATCCGGATGCATTTCTGCCAAAAGCCGCTGGGTTTCGAGATTTGTTTCTGAGTCTCTGGGATCATGTCCGTTAAGCAGCTTGATCAGGAGCCAGAGAGGCCATTCGTGGGCGATGACTTGGGGTCTTATTGGGGTGGGGAGGACAGGCCCGGCTCCACCCCCATCCCGTGAGGCCCTGCGTGTCTCATCACTGTGGGCCCAAACCTGACTGTCCAGTGGCCTCTGAAGGATGGTGGCCACTGGGCCGCCAGGGGGAACAGGCCAGGGCACGAACCTATTCCCATCTGGGTTGGCCCAGCACCGGTAACATACTGCAGGGACCGGACGCATTTCTGCCAAAAGCCGCTGGATTTCGAGATTTGTTTCTGAGTCTCTGGGATCATGGCTATTAAGCAGTTCAATCAGAAACCAGAGAGACCATGCCTCCAATTATATAGCTGATCCGGAGGTGGTTTGTGGGTATGTTTCCTACATACCTAACTTTTGGCCGTTTACTTTCTTGGTAAACTTTGCCAAAAGTTTTTGGGATCTGGCCAAAGGCACAACAGCAATTTTGGGGTATCTGGAAGTGTGAAGGCGCCATTGGGCTGCTGATGTGCTCACCTCACAGGTACAGATAGACCTGCTGGCGGCACCATACCCCCGAGAACCATACTTTTAAGGTCAATTGATAAGGAACCTCAATTCCCTTTTGCCAGGAATGCTAGCATTTACATTGTCTGGGAAGTGTGGACATCTTTGGAGACCCACTATGTACCCTTTCGCAAAGCATCTTTACTAGTTGAACTTCACAGATACTTTCTGTAAGAAATATGTGTTTGCGGGGGGGGCCCTGCTTAACTACTCTCCGGCCCACGGAGGTGGCCCTAGGGATTGATCCGTTGGTGCAAGGAGGGACCAACCGAATGAACACAAGACACAAGAGACAGAGTGCAGTTTAGAAACAGAGAGAAAAAGGGATAGACTTTATTGAGGGCTACAGGCTGTTTATATAGGGTCCGGGGCAGCTCAGTCACGAGCAGGAGCAATATAACCATACCTGGTAAGGTCAGCAACAAGAGCTTTACCTAGCATTCAAGGTAAACATTTGTACATCAAAGGGTCTTATGGCAATAGATGCCTCCTGAGTTTCACATTTGTATATCAAAGGGCCTTATGGCAGTAGATGCATCCTGGAGGTCACTATAGATAAGGCCAGATAAGATAACTGTCAGCCTGATGTATTTGGCGATAGATCAGGCATCAGCTGAGGTTAGGAAGTCCTAGGAGACTGACACCAATATCTGTCCCAAGCAGTCCCCAACATGGGAACCACGGCCAGGGTCTATGAGAGGGCTCTTGGCTTCCCACATGTGTTAAGTGACTTCAGTGGCCATAAACTGAAGGCTGACAACACATGTCTTGATGGGATTGAGAAGTTACACAGTAGTGTGAACTTTTCCAGCTTTTAAATCCTCAGGTATCACCCCTACTAGATTTATAGGAAATGCCTCCTCTCCAGGCCTGTAACTGACCTATGTGCTTGTTGGCAAATGCGTCTTGCTTTTTTTTTCCCAGTCCCATAGCCATCTCCCTAGTGAGGACCTACATCCTGCTTGCTTGAGTAACCACTGCAGCACTCAGTGGTCTCATACCATCACTTGCTCAATCTTTCACATGTTCAATCTTTTCCCTAACTTTGCCCTTCAGCTCTAGCCAGTTGGTACTGCTTCTCCTTCCTCCAATAAGCACTGTTGCTTTTGGCCTTTCCAGTCCTTTTGCCTCTCCTCCCTTCTGCCTTGAAATACCATTTTTTCCTGTCCTTTCCCCCTGTAAATAACTCCTTGTAAATAACTCCTTGTAAATAACTCCTTGTAAATAACTCCTTCGAATTCTGCACCATTCTCTGTCTTCAGAGGGGCTCTGCTCAGAGTTCTGAGGCCCTGGTCTCCATGTGCTCTACATTTTGCTTTATGACATAGTCTTCTGTGTATTCCTCATCACACCTCTCCTGCTGTTCTGATCTGCTGGAGCATGTGGAACAGTTATTTGCTTGTCTGAAGGTCCGTTCTTCAAATTAGGCCCAAAGTATCCACCCAGTGGTTAAGTTGGCCTTCGGCCTCATACCCAGGTACCTGTGTGACTTTGACCTAAGAGGGCAGAAAAAAGGCATTAACGGGTGGGACATCAGCAGGGGTGGAATTGGTAGCACAGGGCCAGGCAGGGATATAGGTAATAATGCACCCCTGATATACTCCTGACATGCCCTGGTCTTTGTATCTTATTGAAGTTTTTTGTTGTTGTTTATTTTTAGGCCATACTTGGTAGTGCTCAGGGATTATTACTGGTTCTGCCCTCAGGGACCACTCCTGGTAGTGTTAAGGGTACCTTATGGGGTGTCAGGGATTGAACCAGGTCAGCTGTGTGCAAGACAAGTGCTTTATTCACTGTACTATCTTTTCAATCTTTTTATATTAGTTTTTCATTTACTCAGTAAAGCTCTAGGTAACAGTTTCAAGTATTCAGTGTTCCAAGTCCAAAGCCACCACCAGTGTCAGAAGCACCTGGTCTTGATTATCTTGTTTATTGAAGGTTTAAGGAGAATTCTAGACAGTTCATGAACAAAGACAATGGTCTTGGACGGCAGCTGCAGTGGCTGCTGAGCTGGAGGCCTTGGCCGAAGTCCTATAGGGGCAATATGTACTAAGCCATTGGCTGTTGCTCCTTGCACACAGAGAAGGTCTGTAGCTGAATCCAATAGGGCTGGAGAGATAATGCAGCGGGTAGGATACTTGCTTTTCTCGTGACTACAGTCATCTCAGGTTCAACTCCTGGTATCACATATGGTTCTCTGCCCCGAGCCCTGTCAGAAGTGATTCCTAAGTATCACCGACCCAGTGTGCCTCCACCTCCCCCCACAGCTACCCAAAGAAATTTAAAAGGAAGGGCAGTCAGGAAAAGAAAGGTTAAGGCAGCCACTTACGTTTTTATTTTTATTATTTTTTTTAGTTGAGTCACAGATACAGTTACAGTTATTCATGATTAGGTTCCAATCTTAGAATGTTCTAACACCTGTCCCTTCAACAGTATACAGTTCCCACCACCAATATCCCCAGTTTTCCTCCCCCGCACCCCCCTCTCCCCACCCCTTGCCTCTATGGCAGGCACTTCTGAAGCGGTAGATGAGACTTTGCAGCCAAGAATCAGCAGTAGCATGGGCCCCAAAGGCCAGAGAGTGGCTCCCTGGGGCACTGTCAGGAAAATGCAGGAGCATGTCTGGGGGGATAGAGGCTGTAGAAAGGGAGGAGCGGGCGGAGTGTGTTTGCAGTGTGCAGTGTCCAGTGGGATGTTGAAAGAGGC